GATGCCTCTGTTTGAAAAACTGGAATAATTTATGTTGTAAATCTTTGCTGTACAGATCTGTTAAGAGGGAAACCCTTAAGCTGATAGAAACCTTCTTAGACAAAGCTGAGGACCAACCACACATAGGGAAACAATTTGTGCCGCCAATGATGGAATCAGTACTTGGTGACTATGCGAGGAATGTGCCTGATGCTAGGGAATCCGAAGTTCTTTCACTCTTTGCAACGATTATAAACAAGTATGCCTCTTATTTGTTGATGTGTGCCATAGTAGTTAACTGTAATTGTGAAAAGATTGGAAGATCTGGCCGGATGTTTACCATCTGCATCTTTCTGGATGTTTACCATGCTGCAAGATTTTATTTGGATTTTTTCTTTCAGGTACAAGGCGACAATGTTAGAAGACGTGCCTCACATATTTGAAGCTGTATTCCAGTGTACATTGGAGGTAACAGATTTTATGGATTGTGTATTTGACGGGCTGAAAAAACTTACATGGAGGTTTTACTTATGCTTTGTATATACTTTATTGACACTTTTCATTCATCCTATTGCAGATGATAACTAAGAACTTTGAAGATTATCCAGAACACCGCCTCAAGTTTTTCTCATTACTCCGTGCTATTGCTACATTTTGTTTCCCTGCCTTGATAAAGTTATCAAGTCCGGTTAGTGAATATGTTCTTGCATATATTATCCTTGTGACCTTCTTTCTAAGGCTCTCTCATTATTTGCTTATCTTTCTTACTGCCTTGTCATTTTGCAACAGCAACTGAAGCTAGTGATGGATTCAATTATCTGGGCATTTAGACATACTGAGAGAAATATCGCTGAAACCGGGCTTAATCTTTTGCTTGAGATGCTGAAAAACTTTCAGGTTTGGTGTTTATTTTCCTTCTTTTAGCTCAGTGGTTGTGACATATATTACGTCTGCTCTAATATTGTCCTCTGATTATGACAGCAATCTGAGTTTTGTAATCAATTCTACCGGACATACTTTATGCAAATCGAGCAAGAAATATTTGCCGTTTTGACTGATACCTTCCATAAGCCTGGCTTCAAGCTGCATGTGTTGGTGCTGCAGCAGCTGTTTTGTCTGGTAAAACCATCTCTTCTCTTATTGTATATTATTTGATAGTTTAAGTAATCCTTTGCTTGGGAATGGGTAGTTCTATGCACTTATGCGTTTGTTTATTATATATTTCAGCCTGAGAGCGGTGCTTTGACAGAACCTTTGTGGGATGCCACAACTGTTCCTTACCCGTATCCGAACAATGCTGCATTTGTTCGTGAATACACCATTAAGCTACTGAGCTCTTCATTCCCCAACATGACTGCAGCAGAGGTAAATAAAAACTAAAACCAGAAGTTTTACTTTTACAGTTTTCATGTTGACTCCTACTCGTATCTGATTATTGAATATCAACAAATATTCAGGTCACACAATTTGTGGATGGACTTTACGAGTCTAGAAATGACCCGTCTGGATTTAAGAATAACATTCGTGACTTCCTTGTACAGTCTAAGGAGTTTTCCGCTCAGGTAATTAAACTTGTTTTTCTCAAAATTGGTTTTAAGAAACTCAAAACCAATAGACCAAGCCAATTTGTTAAATACTTGTTTTCAGGATAACAAAGATCTCTATGCTGAGGAAGCAGCTGCACAGAGAGAGAGAGAGCGTCAAAGAATGCTTTCGATTCCTGGGCTTATTGCTCCTAATGAGATTCAAGACGAGATGGTGGACTCATAAAATTAAGAAGGCTGCAACAAGAAGAAGCTTCCTGTGTTCAATGGACTGGATTTTTTTTGTATTCATAGGTTTTGAAAACAGGAAAGAGAGAGAGATTAATGTCCCCGACCGTATCTCTGCCTGCCTTTTTCCGAAGCCTTTCACAATTCGATTTTGAGGATTGGAAAAGCTAAGAAAACAGAGATCTTTTGGGGGATAAATTAGTGTCTTGTTTGGTTAATTAATTGGGTTTAATGTAGATTTAAAAAACATTAGCGATCGTCTCTAGTTATTTCATATGGTTGGCTCCTTTTTGCTTTGCTTTACATATCAGACCTTTTTCGGGTTTGTTTCTATTACTCAGTGATTCGTGTTTTAGGTGCAACATATATTTTTTTTAACTCTAAATCTTTGTTACCCCTAGGGGGTTATAAATTGCTGCTGAGATTATCTATCTTCTCATTATCTTTACGAAACAAAACATTGACTTCAGAGTTCAGACATCAATATTTTTTTCTTGTGTTAACTCTTATGAAATGAGACTTCATTAAATAAAATAAAACTATTGTATTACATTTTCTCCCTCGACCCTCGACTTGTGTTTTTCTGATATAAACTGAAAAATTCAAATACTGTATATTCAAGTTGATCATAATTATTTTAAGGTTTCTTACTCTACATGAGCCGTTGACAAAAAATATATATATATAGTCCATGAACGGAATTATGAAATCGAAGCATGCTATCTTATAGTTTTGGCCCTAATAAGATGCAATAATTTAGATTTTAGCTCCTAATTTTATATGTTCGTAAAAACGTTTTACGCTACTAAAATATATAGATATTACATATATCTATAATTTATTTTCCGCGCCCACATGGCAAGATAACAACTAGTAGCTGTTGTGTATTTATCTTTATCCAACTCAAAATTAAACTTTCACAACTTCGTCCAACAAACCTTTGAAATTCTTAAAGGAGCTTCCTTCCGTAGAGACAGCGTCTTGTGCTAGTTCTTTAAGCTTCTTAGAATTAACCTTCATCTTCTTGCCATCATCTTGAACCAAAACCCGATCCAAACTCTCCTTAAATCCATCCTTTGTGAAAACTCCATCAATAATCGTCATTCCAATTTCCCACACAGCCTCCACAGATCTTGCATTGACTGCATGATCCCCGAAAATTGGTCTGCAAATCATCGGTACACCTGCCGACACACTCTCCAACACTGAGTTCCACCCACCATGCGACACAAAGACACCCGTTGCTTCATGGTTTAGCAGCTCCACTTGTGGTGCCCATGGAACCACCATCCCTTGCTCTCTTGTCCGTTCCAGAAACCCTTTTGGTAAATGAACCATGTTCTTCTCTTGTAGCGACCAAACGAAAGGCACTTTACTCGACTCCAATCCTTGTGCTATCGCCTCAAGCTCTCCAGGAGGCGGTGTCGCGACTCTACCGAAGGCAATGTATGCTACAGATGCAGGGGATTGCTTCTCGGTCCAAGCCAAGCAACCGTGAGGATCTTGCACTAGTGTGGATGTTTGCGATGGAGAAGATAATAAAGCGAGAGGACCGATGGTTAGGTAACGTGTAAATTTCGAACTGAAGTCATTTGTAAATGTAGGATCCAATTCTTCAAAGGAATTTATGAAAACAGCTTTGGCACGAGGTAAAGCACGACCCATTTGGTGCAACGTTTTAGAAAAAACAGAGTCTAAGTTCCCAAACACAACTCCTTCTGGTGTGTCTTTGACTCTGATCTTCCCCATTCCTGAGATAAACCCCAATGTCTCCTCCATACGCTCATCTACATTTTGTAAATTATAATGGAATCAAATCTTTACCACAAATATAACATAGAAATCACGATTTTCCTTAAACTGCATATATAAGGACAAAATCTCACTTTTAAAAACAATCCCTCGGGGGATATTGTGGAAGAGCCAGGTTTTCTTGCCATTGAAGGCATCTATAGTTGCCATATTGAAATGGTCTTAATGGAATCGTAACGCAATAAAAGATTGTGTATACCTTTGACACCGACGTTTTCTCTGATGACATCTGTGTAGAGATGAGCAGTGAGCGAGTTTGCTCCGCCTCCATAGTACGCAACCCACGACGCTTTCATCTCCGCCGCTGCCGTCTCCGCTGCGAACCAAAGGAACGCATCCGTAAGAATGCACTTGACTTTCCTACCAACTTCCGTATCCGCCGCCTTGATTTCCCTCCGAAAAATCTCCGGTGCCGCTTCAAGAAACAGCTCAACCGCTTCCTGTGGATTCCCCGTCAAGATGGATCCCTCAGGAACACCGTCAGCGACGTTGTGGACTCGAATGTTCGCGGGAAGATCGGAGGAGAGTAACGACGAGTTGGATCGTGCGGTGTTGAAGAAGGAGAAGACAGTGGAGGGAGCAGCGGTGGCGAGACGGCACGTGACGGCGAGGAGAGGAGCTGCATGAGTGCCGAAGGGGAAAGCGAGAACTGCCACGTGGGAGTCTTTGGTTGGCTCGGAGGGTTTGGCCATGAAGGAAGCAATGCTAAAGTCTTAATAAAAAAAAAAAAAAAGCAATGCTAAAGAGATAAAGAGAACGGTCGTGGATGAGACACCGGGCAAGTATAGCCTCCATCTCTCTCTCTTAATCAAATTTAAATACACCTTTATGTCCTTTGTTTCTGTCCCCTGCTATATTGTTTTGGTAGGTAAAACTTGTGGTTCTTATTATTATTATTATTTTTATTTTTTGTGCTTCTTAGAACATCAACAGTGGCAAAACCATGAGGATAGATATTAATAATAGATTTATTATAAAATTTATTGAAGAGAGAGGAGGAGAATTGGCAGGTGGAGAGAGAGAGAGGAGAGAAATAGAGAGAATAATTTTTTTCCCTTTTTAAAAAGCCTCACACCCATTCGAGTTTTGTTGAAAAGCAACTTTTTACATTATTTCTCTTATTGTTTAATATTTACACCTGTCGAGTGGTTGCACCACTGCGTGTGGCCTTATATGGTGACTTTTCTCATCGAGTCTCACCTGTCTTTCAGTCAATGTTCTAAAGTAGGACATGGCACAAAACCATATAGAATAAATGTATATACGGTTGTTTATGTGGAATAGATATTTTTCTTGACAAAACAAATATCTATTATCGACATAAAAAAATTTATATGTATTGTATATATCAATTACAAAGTTACCATAACAAAAAAAAAAAAAAGAAGCAAGGATAAAAAAATCATGATGATCAATACTATCCATGGATAGCAAAAAAATTGAAAATTCTCACTTTCTTATTTTTTAAATAAGTCTTACACTTTCATTTCAAAGTTTCGTTCTACAAAGAGAAACAAAATCGGAGAAAAATACAGGGAATGTGTAGAGATAGTATTTGGTTGGGAAGCCCATATATTTCAAAAGCAACACATGGTTCAATCTTTAGCCACGAGATCGAGATTTGAACACGAGATCACCACTTGCATTGTGGAAGTGATTTCATTTTCTAGTCACCAGTGTTAGGGAAGGGTCGGTCGGGGCATGCGGTAATGAAATAAGAAGAACCCTCCCCATTTTTCTCCACATTAATTAGCACTGTTCGCCTTGGTAAACCTGGTTAATTGAAGTGTTCTTTTACTTTACCCAAAGTCTTTACTAATATGATAATGTTCACAACTACCTCAAGCCATCCTTTTAATAGTCCTAAATATGAATTTTCTTTCGAATAGGCTCTTTTTAACTCTGTTTTTGTTTACTATGAAAACAGAACATGTTTATTTGTTTATTATCCAAAGCCAATTTGAATTAAACTTTCACAACTTCGTCCAACAAACCTTTGAAATTCTTAAAGGAGCTTCCTTCCGTAGAGACAGCGTCTTGTGCTAGTTCTTTAAGCTTCTTAGAATTAACCTTCATCTTCTTGCCATCATCTTGAACCAAAACCCGATCCAAACTCTCCTTAAATCCATCCTTTGTGAAAACTCCATCAATAATCGTCATTCCAATTTCCCACACAGCCTCCACAGATCTTGCATTGACTGCATGATCCCCGAAAATTGGTCTGCAAATCATCGGTACACCTGCCGACACACTCTTATTATTATTTTTATTTTTTACACCTGCCGACACATTCTTATTATTATTATTATTTTTATTTTTTGTGCTTCGTAGAGCATCAACAGTGGCAAAACCATGAAGATAGATATTAATAATAGATTTATTATAAAATTTATTGAAGAGAGAGGAGGAGAATTGGCAGGTGGAGAGAGATAGAGAGAATAATTTTTTTTCCCTTTTTAAAAAGCCTCACACCCGAATGTAATTATACATTCGAGTTTTGTTGAAAAACAACTTTTTACATTATTTCTCTTATTGTTTAATACTTACACCCGCCGAGTGGTTGCACCACTGTGTGTGGCCTTATATGGTGACTTTTCTCATCGAATCTCACCTGTCTTTCAGTCAATGTTCTAAAGTAGGACATGGCACAAAACCATATAGAATAAATGTATATACGGTTATTTATGTGGAATAGATATTTTTTTTGACAAAACAAATATCTATTATCGACATAAAAAAATTTATATGTATTGTATATATCAATTACAAAGTTACCATAACAAAAACAAAAAAAAAAAAAAAAAAAAAAAAAAGAAGCAAGGATAAAAAAATCATGATGATCAATACTATCCATGGATAGCAAAAAAATTGAAAATTCTCACTTTCTTATTTTTTAAATAAGTCTTACACTTTCATTTCAAAGTTTCGTTCTACAAAGAGAAACAAAATCGGAGAAAAATACAGGGAATGTGTAGAGATAGTATTTGGTTGGGAAACCCATATATTTCAAAAGCAACACATGGTTCAATTTTTAGCCACGAGATCGAGATTTGAACACGAGATCACCACTTGCATTGTGGAAGTGATTTCATTTTCTAGTCACCAGTGTTAGGGAAGGGTCGGTCGGGGCATGCGGTAATGAAATAAGAAGAACCCTCCCCATTTTTCTCCACATTAATTAGCACTGTTCGCCTTGGTAAACCTGGTTAATTGAAGTGTTCTTTTACTTTACCCAAAGTCTTTACTCATATGATAATGTTCACAACTACCTCAAACCATCCTTTTAATAGTCCTAAATATGAGTTTTCTTTCGAATAGGCTCTTTTTAACTCTGTTTTTGTTTACTATGAAAACAGAACATGTTTATTTGTTTATTATCCAAAGCCAATTTGAATTAAACTTTCACAACTTCGTCCAACAAACCTTTGAAATTCTTAAAGGAGCTTCCTTCCGTAGAGACAGCGTCTTGTGCTAGTTCTTTAAGCTTCTTAGAATTAACCTTCATCTTCTTGCCATCATCTTGAACCAAAACCCGATCTAAACTCTCCTCAAATCCATCCTTGGTGAAACTTTCTTTAATAATCGTCATTCCAATCTCCCACACAGCCTCCACGGATCTTGCATTGAGTGCGTGGTCCCCGAAAATCGGTCTGCAAATCATCGGTACACCTGCCGACACACTCTCCAACACTGAGTTCCACCCACCATGCGACACAAACACACCCATGGCTTCATGGTTTAGCAGCTCCACTTGTGGTGCCCATGGGACCACCATCCCTTGCTCTCTTGTCCGATCCAAAAACCCTTTTGGTAAATGAACCATGTTCTTCTCTTGGAGCGACCAAACAAAAGGCACTTTACTCGATTCCAATCCTTGTGCTATTGCCACAAGCTCTCCAGGAGGCGGTGTCATGACTCTACCGAAGGCAATGTACGCTACAGAATCAATGGACCGCTTCTCCATCCAAGCTAAGCAGGCGTGAGGATCATGCAATGGTGTTTCTCTTTGCGATGGAGAAAATAACAACGCTAGAGGACCAATGCTCAAATAACGTTTGAATTTAGACCTGAGGTTTACAGTCAATGTAGGATCTAATTCTTCAAAGGAATTCATGTAAACCGCAGTCGCCCGAGGCAAAGCAAGTCCCATTTGGTGCAGCGTAGTTGAGAAAACAGAGTCTAAATTCCCAAACACAACTCCTCCTGGTATGTCTTTGACTCTGATCTTCTCCATTCCTGAAATAAACCCTAATGTTTCCTCCATACGCCCATCTACTTCTGTAAATTAGAAAGAAATCAAATCATTATCAACAAAAGAACAAAATTTAGGAATCTTGTAATTTGAATAATTTTTATGTATAGGTGACATAATTCTTTTAACCTTAATTTGTTTCCCTTTTTAGCAACTTTCCTTAAATAGCATAGCATGTCTAACGACAAAATCACAAGTTGGAAAATTTGTATAAACCTTTGACACCGATGGTTTCTCTGATGAGATCTGTGTAGAGATGAGCAGTGAGCGAGTTTTGTCCGGAGGTCCAGAAAGCAACCCACGACACTTTCATCTCCGCCGCCATATCCGCAGCGAACCAGATGAACGCATCCGTAAGCATGCATGTCACTTTCCTACTAACCTCAGTCTCCGCCACCGCGAGTTCTCTCCGAAAAATCTTCGGCGCCGCTTCAAGAAACAGCTCGACCGCCTCCTGTGGATTTCTGGAGAGCACGTATCCCTCGGGAACACCGTCAGACACGTCATGGACCCGAATGTTCGCCGGACGATCGGAGGAGAATAATGAAAAGTTGGATTGTGAGGTGTTGAAGAAGGAGAAGACGGTGGAGGGAGATGCGGTGGCGAGACGGTGGGTGACAGCGAGGATAGCCTGACCGTGACTGCCGAATGGAAAAGCGAGAACTGCGACGTGGGAGTTGGCCATGGAAGAGGAGGCAAACGTTAAAGAGAGAATATGAATTTGGAATGGTTGTGGTTAATCTCTCTCTCACAAGTACACTCTTAACCAAATTTAGAATGGTTGTGGTTACTCCTCGCTCTCTCACAAGTATATTCTTAACCAAATTTAATTTATACAAATCAGCTGTATTGTTGGTAGGTAAAATTTGTGGTTCATCTTTATTTCATGTGGACCCAAAATTAATGGATCCTATTGATATTATAGATATTATTTGATTGATTATTCACTGAATTTAGATGTAAATACTAAATAGTGTTAGTGTCGTCTCAATATATTTATATATGGAAAGGCCCTTGATAATTAATATAAAAATTGAACTTTCTTACTACAATTTTTTTCTTCTTAAAATTGGGCTCATTTTCTTTACTAATTATTTTAGAAATGGCTTTGGATCCATGATAAATATCCATGTTGTCATGGGGTAGAGATGGCCTGAATAGTACACAAGGGATGACTTTTTGGGTCATATAGTTTTGAAAGTTGGAGGGGAGAGAGACTCGTGACCAACACATAAACAAAGGATGAGAATGAGTAAGTAGTAAGTTGGTCCACTACTCTGTAATGGTAGTGTCATCGGCTTCCTTGGCCACCACGACCGCATTTGCCACATTTCTTGGATCTTTTGAGTAGGCTTGACCGGTCTTTTCCGCAAGATCTTCTGAGCTGTGCATTCAAGATCAGAGTCAAGCCAAATTTGTTATCTCCATATGCTCCTTCATCCAAAGCATCCTTGACCTCATTGCTAAAATTAATATCCGCTGGAGAGTTCTCATCCATGAACTCTCTTTGCAATAAAAACACCTAGTTAACATACATGATAGAGAACGACACTAGCTGTTGTTATCACAATGAGAGCTTCCACTTTTTCTTTACATGTTTTTGAATTAAGCAACGATACCCCAGGATTGGCTAAGTCCTATTGTTGGTATGGATAAACACTCAATTTGTATTCGAGTTTGATTTACAAAAGTATGTTGAGATTAATTAAAAAAAAATCAGTTGATGGGTGATTTAGTGGTTAAATGAACTTATCATAGGTCTTCTCATATTCTCGATTCTCCATACTCGGTTTTCTTTGCTTTGCTTTATATAAAGGAGTTGAGAGATCAAGTTATGAAGCTCTAAACCGTGCCTAAACCAGAGATCTAACCAGTCTCAGTTAAGACTTCGATTTACTAAGATCAAACCAACCAAACAATACCAGGCCACACATTCGTTAATCGTCGTCACTTAAAAGTTAAGAACAAACACTCCTATAGTCCTATTATATGAAAACGCATATGATAATGTTTTTGTCCAAACTCATTTTACATATGAACAATGCTCGCAACTGCATCCAACAATCCTCCGAAATTCTTAGAGGAGCTTCCTTTCGAAGAGACAGCTTCGTGTCCTAGCTCTTTAAGCTTCTTAGCATTACATTTCATCTTCTTACCATCATCTTGAACCAAAACTCGATCCAAACACTTCTCAAAACCATCTTTTGTGAAGACTCCATTGATAATCGTCGTTCCAATCTCCCACACAACCTCCACTGCTCTTCCGTTCAATCTCTGATCCCCAAAAAACGGCCTGCAAATCATCGGAACACCTCCCGAAACACTCTCCAACACTGAGTTCCATCCACAATGAGTCACAAACACACCCGTTGCCTTCTGTTTCAGCAGTTCCACTTGCGGTGCCCATGGAACCACTATCCCTTGCTCTCTTGTCCTATCCAAAAACCCTTTTGGTAAATGAACCAAGTTCTTCTCCTTAAGCGACCAAACAAACGGCACTTTACTCGATTCCAACCCTTCTGCTATCGCCGCAAGCTCTCCAGGAGGCGGTGTCATGACCGTACCAAAGCTAATGTACGCCACAGAAGCAGGGGATCTCTTCCCAATCCAAGCCAAACAGCCGTGAGGATCGTGCACTAGTTGCAATGTAGAAGATAATAACCCGAGAGGACCGATGTTCAGGTAACGTTTGAATGTCGATCTGAGGTTATCGGTCAAAGTAGGATCCAGTTCTTCAAAAGAATTGATGAGAACCGCAGTGGCACGAGGTAAAGCAAGTCCCATTTGGTGCAGCATCTTGGAGAAAACAGAGTCTAAATTACCAAACACAACTCCTTCTGGTGTGTCTTTGACTCTGATCTTCTCCATTCCTGAAATAAACCCTAATGTCTCCTCCATACGCCCACCTACTTCTGTAAATTAGAATGGAATCAATAATCATTACCACAAATATATATAAATCTTCAAATCAAAAGTATCTTAACCTCTGTTTCTTCTTTTAGCTAAACTTTCCTTTAATGGCATATTTATTTATGAGATACATGACAAAATCACAAGTCAGAATCTAGGTATAAACCTTTGACACCGATGGTTTCTCTGATGAGATCTGTGTAGAGATGAGCAGTGAGCGAGTTTGCTCCGGCGGTCCAAAACGCAATCCACGACGCATTTATCTCCGTCGCCATATCAGCCGCGAACCAGAAAAACGCATCAGTCAACAAACATTTCACGTCCCTACCAACCTCCGTCTCCGCCGCCGCGATTTCTCTCCGGAAATTCTCCGGCGCCGATTCGAGAAACAGCTCGATCGCCTCCTGTGGTCTCCCGGTGAACACGTATCCCTCCGGAACACCGTCGGGAACATCGTAGACTCTGATGTTCTCCAGACGATCTGCTTCGTCGCCTGGGGAAAATAACGAAGAGTTGGATTGCGCGGTGTTGAAGAAGGAGAAGACGGTTGAAGGAGCGGCGAAGGCGAGGCGGCGCGTGACGGTGAGGAGAGGAGCTGCGTGAGTACCGAAAGGAAAAGCGAGAACTGCCACGTGGGAGTCTCTAGTTGGCTCCGAGGGTTTGGTCATGGTGAGTAATGAAGAAGAGAAGGTTTGATCATCATGTGAATGAAGTTTGGTTTGAATAAATAGAAGAGAGAGTGTGGTCGTAAATGAACCACCGAGCAAGTGTAAAGCTCGTGTTCGTGGTTGGTACCGATCTCTCTCTCTCTCTTTTTTTGGTACAAGATCTCTCTCTCTCTCTTTCTTCTAATTAGAACTTTTTTTTTAATAAACGACAATTTAAAACAAATCCGATTTTTGATCTTTTCCTATTTTCACAAAATTGTTTTCTATATATATATTTTTATTATTATAGATTTTTTCGCGAAAGTACATGACTACATGTTATTGTCATATCTATACTTTGTACATTATCTTCAATTAATTATTAGATTCTTTTTTATCGACATTCAAAAAAATGATTTCTATAACAGTATAACATGTAAACAAAAATTGAATAAGTGATATAAAAACACTTGATTTGTGTTATAAATTCCGCGATATCTCTTTTTCTTAAAAAGAATTGTATGTTTTTTCCAACCAAAAACTTATTATATGTTTCAAAATAAATAAATAAAAAGAAATGTCGGTATACTGATGACTCCCACGTGGCAGTTCTCGCTTTTCCTAAAATGTTGGACCGGTAATAGAGCATCTCTATCAGTCAGAAACTCTGTTGAGTGTCTGACAGATAAAATAATATTCTCTCTGTTTCAAAATATAAGATGTTTTAGAGATTTTGTTTTGTTTCAAAATATATGATGTTTTACAAATTTCTATGCAACTTTAAATACATTTGATATTTTATGACCTTTTATATTCTGTAGTCTTTTATATCATTGGTTGAACTTTTTAAAATTAAATATTAAATGATAGTTTTTAAAAACAAAATTAAATTTCTTAAAGTGTGTGCTTTTAGGTAAAACATCCTATATTATGAAACAGAGGGAATATTAATTTTTTTATTATTTAATTATTTATTTAAACCAATCAGAAGAAGACAACTGTAAAACTAGGTGTCTCAGAGTTTCTCACTTAAAAAACGTTTCTGTCCTCTCTCCTCCTTTTTTAAATTTTTTATTCTGTTTTATTGGAGAGTGTCTCACCTAGACACTCCTAATGGAGATGGTCTTAACTTTCTACTAGTACTAAAAACACTTTCAATAGGGGTTTCTAAACATGATTCTTAATAAATAATAAAAAATATATATTATTTATATATTAGATGGGTACCTTAAATTTGGAAAAACTTAACCCAATTATTTTTTTAACTAAGAAACAGTTAGACTAAATTTCTCTAAATTTAAGGTATCCATAATTAAAAAATATTACTTATCTATATTTACACTTTAAATTTTATTTAAGAAACCTATGTTTAGAAACCCACATTGATGGTGCTTTTAAGATTTTTATGGGATTTGTGGTAAGATGTGATTGGTTGAATGATTTAGACTTTTTTTTTTTCCTTAAAGTATTACTTTATTAAACATATATCAAACGAAAGTGGCCATTTAAAGCCCAACAGCAATACAAATTACAGAAATGTTTTGGCCCAAAAGCCCAACAGAATTTGCCCACGGAGAAGAAATATCAATTCGACTCTATCTCCATCAACACATGTCAACAACTGGGAAAAGCAAAACACGTGTAGGGATGAGTATTCAAAGCAGACCGACTTCAACCTTTGCCGTCCAGAGTCCGATTCCGGCGAAAGCATCTTTACCAATGACGAATCGTTATAGATTCTTGTGGGTTTTCACCGGGATAAACCAATCGAAACTCCAATTAAAGATAACAGCTTAAGGCACTGTTAATATGCGACGAAAATTACTTATTTTCTTCAAGTCTTATCACAAATTTCTGGTCTAATTCCTGTAAATTGCAAACTCAAAAGAAAACACCTGGATGATAACCATCATTAAGCCGAGATTTATTGAAAGAAAATTACATAAAACTGGATACACTGGAAGCGACGGCTGAGGGATAAACCGTGAGCCAGCCAACGCTTGTTATGTGAACCAAACATTGCCGGCTGAAAGCTGACCATCACTGATAAAGGAACCGATGATGTCAGACGAAAAGCCCGACTAAATCGGGACGGCTAAACACGGCAACAGAAAAGCCATGTTGACGGCAAGAACACGGCAACGAAATAGCCATGTTAACGGCGATCAAAGATAAGATAAGAGCCTATCAAAGATAAGATAAGAGCCTAAGACGATGGGTTCTTACAAAAATCTTAAGATGATCTTAGTAATTATTTAGTATTATTACTAAGAACCAAAGTTAAGATGAGTTGAGAGAGTTGCTTACCTAAAAGCTAAAAAAAGGTAAATCTTAACTTTGGTTCTTAGTAATAATACTAAAAAATTACTAAAATCATCTTAAGATTATCTTAAGAACCCATTGATAAAGATGGTCTTTATCAATGGGTTCTTAAGATAGCAGTCAACAAAGAAAGGAAGGGGAAAAAATCTGGACTCATTTCTCCTTTGATATATTTTTTCCAATCCCACCTTTTTACTCAAATTTTATTACTTTTAACATGGGATAGGGTCCAAAGCTGAGATTTTGACCCACACAAATGTTATTTCCTTTGGTAGGTAAATATGTGATTGTTAAACCGAGCCGGCCCATATTTTATCTTTGTAATTGGGGCCGCAAAGCCTGGAAAGAAAGATTGTGAAAATTTTCATTATTTTGCTATATTATTAGTATTATATTAATATATAATATCAGAAAATGGAGAAGGATGTTGGAAGTAAAGTAATTTGAAAAAAAAAATGAAAAATGAAAGGAATATGAATATTCCGTTGAAGACTTGCTCCTGAAATCGTTTGGACCGAAACGCGTACAATTATTCCCTTCAATTTCTCTGCAATCTCTTCACCGTCTCCTCTTTCTCCTCCTCCAAAATCGATCGTTCGTCGTCGTCGTCTGATTTTCTCTACGATTTCTTTTTTCTGTCTAGCTCGGTAAACTATTTTTTTTTATTTTTTTTGGGTATCGGAGCCATGGGTCAAGCTTTTCGTAAGCTATTCGATACTTTCTTCGGCAATCAAGAAATGAGGGTAATCTCATCTTCTCTCGTGCTGTTATTCTGGAAAATCACGATCATTTCCTGGATTTTTCTTGATTCGGATCTCGTGTAATTTGATCTTTGATTTGTTTTGGTTTTTTTAGTCATAGCTTTTATCGCCAATGTCTGATCTCTTTTATGTTTTGGAATTTTGGATTTGGAAAATACTTGAAAACTCAATCTTGTGTAGACCAATGCCAAATTGATGGTTGATTCTTCTCTATTACTAATCATAGATTTGTTGTGAGCTGTGGCATGAGGAACAAAATTGAAGAAATGATTTTTGAATGTTACTTTTTTTGGTTTTCAATTTTGTGATGATGACAGGTCGTTATGCTGGGGCTAGATGCTGCTGGCAAAACAACTATTCTCTACAAGCTTCATATTGGAGAAGTTTTGTCTACTGTTCCCACCATTGGTAAGCTGTGTGCTTTTTCTTTTTTTTTGCTCATTTCTTAACAACTTTGCGGAATTCTTGTGTTATTGTCATAGCTGTTGTGATTATTCTTGTTCTCAGAAGCTAATAAGTAGTGGGATTCATTTCTTGTTTTGGAACGAGATTTAGATTGATCTTTGTTGAAAGCTGTTAGATTCATTCTATTAACATCTTACAAAAAACAAAAGATTTGATTGCGGAGAGGTGGGATCAGAATTGTATATACTTGGAATATCTATCTTCTCCTTCAGTTGAATCTCATGTTGCTTGGATTATGTTTGCTGATAATTTAAACTTTGTTACGCAGGATTCAATGTTGAGAAAGTTCAGTACAAGAATGTGATGTTCACAGTTTGGGATGTTGGTGGCCAAGAGAAACTGAGACCTCTTTGGAGGCACTACTTCAATAATACTGACGGACTTGTACGTATATGGTTCTTTTCGATATTTGCTTTCAGTCAGATACTTAACTTTCAGGTTTCCCGGCTCCATGTTGGCATATGTTATCCTATATTTGATTATGATGTTGCAGTATCATATGTTGCTTGGCCAATATTTAGATCTTTGTCCAGCTCTATCGACCATGGTATAAGTTTACTCTATAATGCTCTTGCAGATATATGTGGTGGATTCCTTAGATCGAGAGAGGATCGGGAAAGCAAAACAAGAATTTCAGGTATAATACCTTAGAACTTTCTAATGGCTTTTCGTAAACTCTCTGGATTATAACTTAACCTGCTCTCGGATTTCCTCAGGAGATCATAAAAGACCCATTCATGCTAAACAGTATCATTCTGGTGTTTGCAAACAAACAGGACATGGTAATTCGAGATTTTCTTTTGGTTTTTGTTTGTTTCTCGTCTGTGCTTATAATTTCCTGAATCCACTTCTTTAACTGCTGCTGGATATTAGAGAGGAGCCATGTCACCTAGAGAAGTATGTGAAGGGTTAGGCTTATTTGATCTCAAGAATAGGAAATGGCACATACAAGGTACCTGTGCTCTTCGTGGAGATGGGCTTTATGAAGGCTTGGACTGGTTATCATCTACTCTTAAAGATGTTAAAGCCGCTGGATTCACATCGGTTGGCCCCTCGTTTTAACTCTCCCAGGTAACATAAAGACCTGAAAACCCAGCGAGCTATATTCAGTAGTTCAGTACAATAACTCTCAGTCTTGTGACCATGATCTTGTAAAACGTCATTCCTCCTTGCAGGTATACTTTGATATCCATGGCCAATGTCTTCTTCTTGGCTTTAGAAAAGGTAACCACGAAGTCAGAATCTCTGAAGACTTTTTTGTTAAAGAAAGAATGATCTTTCTCATGGTGGCAATATTAGACTCAATTAGACTACTTTTGAATTTTGATCATGCTGCCATGAAAGCTTCATTGTATATTCTGCTGATGAAAATTTGTATCATCTGAAAAACCTTCTCTATGCGGTCATCTTTGTCCGATTGAGACTTTGGTAGATGTATATTCATTCCTTTGAAATCATGATATATTTTTTGATAACAAATATATGTTTTCCCTTCTCTATTTTTCTCAACATATTTGGCATTTTGGTGGGTTTATACTTTTTATAGGTTATGCAGAAGATTTGTTTAGATAATGAGTTAATATTGGACCCAAAAATCCTCGTTGAAAACACTCTGTTGCAAACTATCTTAATATTCAAAGAAAAAGCGTAGAAAAAAGAAAAAATTGACACAAGACATATTTCAAATGATTCTGAGCTATATCGTATAGTTTCATCAAAACAGATTTCAGATTTGTATGGAATCAGTCTATCATCACAATTGAAAATGTCTATATGTATTGTTGGCCAAAAAGAAATAATGAAGATATGAATTTATCTAGGGACTTTACTATTCTTTTTTGCTGGTCAGCAGGATAAAGGCATATTTTACTTATAAACCAAAAAATCCACTGAAACAGTAATCTACTTGAGAGTTGAAACTAATATAGTGCAAGATCAAGATCCAAAAAAGTCTCTTCTCGTAGAACAAGCATTATATTCGAGATCAGTTTTCAAAGCTGTTCAAAAGTCTGACCATCTAGGCACATGTTGAAGGCAACCGCGAATCTCCCTCCTCTGCAGCCATTGAATCCGATGATGGTTGTGCAGCAGCTACTGAAGAAATTTGATAACTCACGATTAATAAACCAAAACATGCCCACGAAATGATAAAAATTATAGAAGAACGTAACAACCAAATCAGAAACTTAACTGTTTTCGCTTAGCGTCTCATTTTCACTTGTGGTTGTCATTGTCTCTGATGGTTCATCGATTGTTTCCATGTCAATAGTCATTGCGTCATCAACATCTGCTTCTTCTACCTCAGTCATTATCTCATCCTTATCGCCTCCCATTGCGTCAATTCCATTTGGTGCGCAACTTTCAGCAGTTGTTATTGTGTCTGTGGTTGCTGTGTTTGGATCATCAACGGTTTGTGATTGTGGGTCTGTACTGATGGCTAACATAGAAGTAACCAACAGATTCTGCATATATTCCACAAAATCAATGAAGAAATGTGTATATCAAGTATAAAATCACAGAGGTAAGAATTTCAAATTCGTACCTTTTCTAATGCAAGAGCGAGTTTTGAGAGCTTTGGGTAGATGCTCCTTGCAGCCAAAAGGATCTGTTGAACACAAATTAATCCAAAAAGCTTTATGGTTATGATGTCAACAGAATTTTAGAAGCTTATAACTCTAAAACAATATAAGAGAGCAGTTTTTAGAAGACACTTGAATGGTACGATTTGATAATTACAACTTTTCCAAGAGCTACAAATGTAGCATTTACTTATCCTGGACTAGGAGTACAAACTTTAAAACGATGGAAAATCCTGATATATCATAAATCAAGGAAATAAGTTTGTTTACGATTCGATGAGGATGGAGAACAACAGAGTGAAGGTATGGATTCAACTGATTCTTACACTCTTACACTACTATACAAGTGAATTTTTTTTATTAAATCATGGTAAGCTAATAAGAAAATGATATCTCTGACATTGGAGTAAATCATGACCAGCAAACTCATCTACTTACCTCACAGAGTCTCTGCAATGTAAATGGAGGTCCTTCATCGAAACTAAGAAGGGCTGCAACACAAGACAGGAATAAAAGAAACCAATTAGAAAGGTCTCTGGATAAAAAAGAGTACTTGTAAAAGCATAAATAATACTGGAAAAGGTCAGAAAAAAAAACATAAAGCAGCTCAAACAACTGAATTGCAAAGCCCTTGTCAAAATTCTCAACATATGTTTCCCACACTGTACAAGACAAGCCGTTTTATTTCATTTACACAGGTTACTTTCTTGAAACTTCACACAGATTTTTTTTTTGTAGCCATTTTGAGAAAAGGAGGATGTGTAGAGTTATAGCAGGTCTATTAGAAAATAGATAGATAGTGATTGATGAGATACTAAACCCTTGATTAAGCCATTATCCCAAAGCCAAGCCCTATCTCACAGTTTCAAACTCCCATCTACATAAACTTTCTGGAATCAAATTAACAAAACCAACAAGTGAGTAGATATAGACCTTCATCCAATCGACTAACCAGCTCTGAGTATGTTTCTCCAAGAGCTTCCTTTTGTTGTTCGTCCGTCATTTTTGCCTCAGAATATTCCGATAGAACCTTTACAACAAACCACATAGATAGTTAAATTATTGAAATAATCAGGATGGATGTGGAATGATAATATATATTCTAAGCACACTGCTGGTATACCTGCACATACCTTCTTCAACCAGTACGATAGCGTTCCCTTTAGTTTCTCCCAGTCTTGCCTGTAATATTCCAAGGTAAGAAAGTAGTACTCAACTAGATGTAGCAATACATAGATGAGACCCTAAACCCAATAATTACTCAGAAAGAAACCCACTCATCGATACATTAAACTCTATAGAACAATAAAAAATCGGCAAGGATAAGATAGGATGCCAATTTAAGTGCATAACCAACAATGCCTAATCAAATGTGGTATTACCAGAACTTTCCGGTAGATGCTACTGCTTCTAATGTGCTCTTTACTTCTTCCGCAGACATATCTGCTATCTGCTCAGCTCCACTGCAAAAGAAAGATCAATCTGTTAAAGCACAGAAACCATCTACTATGAAATGAGACACTTAACACCTCGTGACCTCATCTTGCAACCTGAGTGTTCCTTCTTGCATTATCCTCCTAAACATAAAAGGTCATGATATCATGCGACCAGATCTAAACTCGTAAGTAAACGGAAGATCACCTAGATCCGAAAACAACATCATCGATTCAAAACTCAAGTATCCAAGAAACCAATCATTTTGCACACAGACCTCAAGAACAAATATATGAACTAGCATTAACTTAATAGAGATTGGTGAGAAAATTTAAGCGCACAAGCAAGCAAGAGCGATGAAATTCAAAGATTTCGAGTAACGAGTATAGAAGGAAGCAAACATACCGATGCTCGAGAACTTCGGGAAGCACGGCGTGATCCTGGCGTTGAACGCCGTCATTGGGATGAATGACGGAGGAAATCTCGGAAGTTTCCGATGATGATGGATTCTCCATTTTCGGTTTCAGAGCGATTTCCGGATTTCTTTCGAATAAAACCTCAAATCCTGAATCCGCAATTCGTCGGGTAAAATTCGGTGAAGAGGAATTTTCAATTTTGCTCTGACTCGACCCGACCCGACCTGACCCGACCCGTATTGGATCCCATTCGACCCGACCCTTGCAATTCTTTTTTTTTTCCTTCACATGTAATGCGCATTTTTATATGCGAAAAAACGTAAAGACGAAAGTATAGTAGATATTTTGGCCTGCGTTATTGGGTTAGGGTTTAGAAGGTTAAAAAAGAATTGTTGGGTTTAGGGTTTAGAAGGTTATTCTTTTTTTTGGCCAGCATTAAACCTAAAGTATGGTAGATTTTTTTTCTGGTCTTGTAGTTGTACAACCATGGGTCCATTTTTGTTAGCAAACTAAAGTGGAAGAAAACTGAAGACCTTTTCTTTGTAAGTTAAAACAAAAAGAAAAAAAAAAAAAATTCAAATTATATTCTTTTCTACGACACTTCATAGTATCCTTTTCATTTTGTCTCACACCATCGGTTCAGTCTCTGACCAAAAAACAGAAAGACCCATGCTTCTTCTGACCCTAAATTCAGTTTTACCATCTTTCATTGATATTTGAAAAGTTTTAGACTTTATTTCTTGATAGTGACATTTTATTGTCTATCTCTGATAGAAATAATACACATTTATGAGTCTAGTGTACTCACCCTTGCCGCCTCATTTTGCTTCGTTTGTCTTTCGGCTTCATGTTACATTGATTAGGTCACGAGAAAGTCAAGGTAAGAAATTGTGTGGGGGTAAAAATTTTATTTTTCATTAGTGTGTTTTTAGTCTCGTGCTTAAATGGTAACTAATAAAGAGTACTTTGAACTTTTAGATAAGCAAAATAAGCAAATTGAGACAAAAGTGATCAGGAGACTAGTCAAACGAATTTTCAGGGGAAACTAGGTTACGGGTTACTTAATAAAATGGTGAAACTAAGATGTACAGATAGAATCATGACATAATTAAGATGTTGCAACCAACCAGCCTAAACATATAAGGTATATCATGCGACCAGCTAAATCAGATCTAAACTTGTAAGTAAAAGTTATAAAAACTCAGAAAAGCTAGATCCTGAAACGTAAAGATGATTCATCGATTAAACTCAAATATCCAAGACACCTAACCATTTTCGTACCTCAAGAGCACTGGATGAGTTAGTAGCATTAACTTATATAGACATCGGTGAGAAAAAATTCAATCGCCGAAGCAAGCAAGAGCGATGGAATGAAAGATTTTGAGTAAATGACTAAAGAAAAAGAACGCAAACATACGATTACTAGAGAACTTTGGGAATGACGGCATGATCGTGGCGTTGAACGCAAATTCACCGGTTAAATTCGTAAAGAGGAAATTCCAATTTTGCTCAGACCCGGTCCGACCGAATCCGATCTGATACGAGGCGAACGATATTCAGTTTTTTTTTTTATGTGGAAAATGTCTAGACGTAAAGGTATTTATTTAAAAAAATTAAAATCAAGTTGGGTTAGGGTTTATAAGATTTTTTTTAAAATTTAAATAAATAAATGAGTATTTCTTTTAAATCAGTTTTCAAACCATCGCAAAGGTTCAGTCAGACTGAAAGAACACTCACGCAAATTTGACATTCTGTTATTTATATTTTAAGAAAACATTAATAAAAAAAAACTGAGACATTTCGTCGATCAGGCCTGAGTCTGACTTTTGATTTTGTCTTGTGATATATATAGGTTAATAAAGGCCTGTTGTGTAGTTAGGTAGGGTATGATTATACCTAGCATCCCTCTCTCTCTCTATATATATTCATATATATTTTGTTAAAAGTATATATATATATATATCTATATATATATATATATATTTGTTTTTTTTTAAATGGGAATTACATTGTTTATATATACAGAATTTCTGTAATGTTGTTATTGGTCTTTTCTTCGGATATCGAGTACAAAGAAGGGAGGAAAGCTAAATTAAGGTTTATCTTTCTCATTAAGCCAAACAGTAATATTAATGAATTTATTTGATGAAAAAATATTACATGCACACCGGTATATATGTAAACCATAGGTTGATGAGCATGTTTGCCAAAGACCAATAGACAATAATCCGTACACCCAAATTTATTCATTTGTAATATGTACAACACAAACCCATACGTCACATACGTGTGTTCTTATCCATAGTTAACCATTTTGGTTTTTGCTAAATTAGTTAAGCATTTTCTTTATTATTATTGAATCTTTTACTAATAAATAATTAATATAATAATTAGTATTGTTCAATATAGACTGATTTCTTTGATGGTTAATGTTTTTGTGACATATATATAGTATTACTCGTTAGCTTATGATTTCAGACCAAATAGTTGAGCGATTTTTTTCTTTGAAAAATACTTGGGTTCACCTCTAGGGGTGAACCTCTTATGTTCACCCCCTTTATTACATCCAATCAAAATCTGTCATCTATTAATAATAAAAATATTCATTTAATTATAAAATTTAATTTGCCACTAAAACGAAATTATATATCGGTTTAGGTTTATTAGAATGAGTTATAGGTTTAGATTTTATTATTAAACGAGTTTAACTATCGGTTTGGGTTTATAAACGGATTTAGATTTTACAATTAAACGAGGTTAATTGTCGGTTTGGGTTTAGAAAGTACGATTAGGGATTAGATTTTTTACGATTAAACGAGTTTAAATGACGGTTTGGGTTTACAAAGGAGAATTAGGGTTTAGATTTTATGATTAAACAAGTTTAACTATCAGTTTGAGTTTATAAACGGGTTTAAATTTTACAATTAAACGAGGTTAAGTATCGGTTTGGGTTTAGAAAGTACGATTAGGGTTTAGATTTTTTACGATTAAACGAGTTTAAATGACGGTTTGGGTTTACAAAATAGAATTAGGGTTTAAATTTTGTAATTAAACGAGATTATATATCGGTTTGGGTTTATAAAAGAGTGGTTATGACTTAATCTTATTATTTTATTTAGAAAATAATTGTTTTAATTTTTTTAATTAGATGACATGGCAAATTGTAATTGGATAATTAAGAAGGGGTGAATGAAAGTGGTTCACCCCTCACCCCAAGAATTGTTCTTTTTCTATATGTAAATTTAACGAAATAAGCTAACGCACAAACTGATGATACAGTCGTACACATGCAAAGATTTTAATTAAGTTAATTAACGCGCATACACTGACAAACATTGCATTACACACTAGACGTGATCTTTAATTTACTCTAATGATTTAAACAATTATTCATTTCATTAATTTTGTCTTGTCTCTACCAGATCACTCAGTGGCCATCAATTTCTTCTTATACTTTTAACGAAAAACAAATCAATTTCTTCTCCTCGTTTTTTTCTTTTAATATTTAAATATAATTTTTTTTTTGGAAACAAATTGTGTTTGCTTAGTATTTTAAAGCAGGAAACTTAAGAAAAACAAAACAGGAAAATAAATTAATTGAAGTCGAATGAAAAGAAAAAGGTTTGTGTTCATCATTTATTAATATTCGCCTTTATCTCCATGCAGGCTCCGTACGTCTATAGTCTAACCCTACGCATGCTTAATTTGCCCTCCAAGAAATCTGACGTCACGTATTTTGGTATCTCATTATTGTCGGATTTTTTCAATAAAAATCACCACAACGCTACCTGCTTTCAAACGACGTTCTTAATGAGAACATACATTAATTTCTAGTCGTTCTTTTTTTTTTTTTTTTCTAGTCGTTCTTTGTTCCTAACTAGTATCTTTATATATCTATATAGTATTTATGTAAAAACAATAGTAATTAAAGTTTTAATGAATTTGATATATACGTATTTGGTTTGGTTTTGCATAAACTTGGGGTTTGATTCGGTAGAAAAATATTTATAGCATTTGAGTTATTAAGAAACACCGTATTCAGGTTTTAGTTGCACAAAATTCAACATGGTTCGATCTCTGTATATAAATTGTATCTATGTTCAGATTATTAAAATATTGTTTGGTTTCATATTTCAGTCTACATCAGTTTTTTTTTTGTTTGATTAGACTTATCAATTTAAAAACCCTGTACCATTCGTTTAGATTATTACAAGATTTATTTCATTTCGAATTGATCAAAGTTGGTTTGATTAAGTTCAATTTTTTTTTACTATGGTTACTTAATACTTTTGTGGAAACAAGTTGCTTTTCAAAAGTAAAACAAAAACTTATTTTTTACTGAAAAAATAGTATATACAATTTTAAAAAATTAAAGACATTATGGAAATTTCCATTAGCTAAAAACATTTACCTACGAATCTTTTGACCAAAGAGAGAGAGAAAAATACATAATTTTGTCATTTACCTCATTCTCACCACCTTCCTCCAAAAACGCTTTCTCTTTCTCCCTCACTGTCTCTCTCACAAATATTTTCTTCCTCCATCAATCATCTCTAAAAACAACATTTTTAGAGAAAACAAAGTTGAACATGGAAGAAGATGATTATGGTGGTGGGGGTATTGGAGCTGGTGGAAGTCACAAAGGAAAAAAAGTTCCAAATCCTATTAAGCAAGAGCATTAGCAACGTTCTCAGAATCCAAGTCCACAAAACCCTATAGTAGAAGAAGAATTTGATGAACCTATAAGGGTATAACATTTGTAAATTTTTTTTTTTGTAAGATCATTATCACTTGCTTTCTTTCTCTTTTTTCCTCATGGACCTCCGGTTTATAAAATTTCTGGTTTTGAATTTTTAGAGCTTTGTTGGGTTTTATAGTTTTTAAGCTAGTTTTAGTAAGATAGTGTTTGCTTTAGATGAAGAATATCATCTAGAGTTGTTTTTGCATGATTTATTATTTGTCATTTCAGTTTCCTTTCACTAATTAATTTTTACTCTCAAACTAGTCTCATCAGATGGCCTTAAAGCTTTGATGAACCTCAAAGGGGTTGTCTCTATGTGGACGTTCCCTTCTTTTGATAAACAGCTCATAGATCCAATAAATCAACACATCAAACAATTTCCAGATGTGTCTTTTTTTTTTTTTTACAGGAATTTGGGGATGGGAGTCGTCTTATCTTCGATTTGACAGGGACACACTTACGTTTGCTTGGAAGAATTGTAGAGCAATCACAAGGTATACTCGTATCGTATGTAGTAGATCTGTAGATACATATACTAGTTTATGTATCAACAATATCTATATAGCTTCTCTTTTAGCGATTGATTATGGTCCGGTTTTTTTTTTTTTTTTTTTTTTTTTCATTTTTCATGATTGAAAGAGGTGCTATTTGTATGCAGATGATTGCTGGGCAAGGGTTCTCCGTAAGATCTTGGAATTCGCGTACAACAGGAACATTGAGAACGTTGCTGAACAAATACCTTTGTCAATGAAAGGTCTCATTAACAAAGTCAAAGCAGGAAGGGAAATATATGAGACTGGCAAGAGGTTAGGCAAGAGACAAGATTTGACAATTGATTCCCTCAAGAAACCTATTGATTACATTCGTGAGAAAGGACTTGAAAAGGATTTTGGAAGAACTAAGGTATATATGAATATTAATGCATGCTTATATAAATCCAGATTTCTGTATCCTCTATTTGCGTCTCTTGATCCTAATAATCTATTTATTTTTGTGTATTGTTGTTTTGAAAACCATTCATGTATATATATAGTTTAAATATACGAATCATTATATTGACATATATATGATATCAATTTTATATGTTTTGCAGGAAAACATGTTTAGAGTGAGAGGAAGTTTTACTACAAAACCCAATGCAACTCCGAATGACATCCGAGATATGTTGCTAAATCATGGTGTGGTGGGAATATATGTTTACATGGAAGAAAACTTTAGTGAACTTAAGGAGGTATAAGTAAAATATGTTCAACTTTTATTATGTTTTATAGTAGATTAAGATATGATTTAGAATATTAAAACTAGCATGGCTTCATGGCTTATATATATGTAAAATTGTTTCAGGAAATCTACACTTTGAATATACCACAAGGAGCCATCTTGGATAAGAAAAAACATGTTCTGATAATTGTTGCTTATGGATTGACGCGTGATGACAAAATATTTTTCCTTGCGCAAAACACTTGGGGGAAGGAGTGGGGAGTTGGAGGATATGGAAGGATCATCGTTGCGGATACATGCTCAATATTTTATGTTGATGGTTTGCTTAAGTAATGTTTTTCCCGGTGTTAAACTTAAACATATATAATCATTTGGTTATAAAGATGATTATTAGGTTATGAATTGAAATCTTGTATTGTTTTCATGGATTTATCTTACTTAACTTTTTCTTGTTTTCATGGATTTATCTTAATTAAATTTGTCTTGTTTCCATGGATTTATCTTAATTAACTATCGTTTATGTAAATCATAATTGTATGCAAAATTGACGCTGCCCTTTATACCAAATGTTGCTAAAGCTCTGCATTTCTAGGCGCTCTTCGGCAACTCTTCTTCCTTCATCTTCATTGTTTTGCCTTAAAATGATGATACTAAATGGAGCTGCACCTTTTCATATAACTACAATTGTGTCTTCATGTAAAGAAGTTTCCAAAAAAATCACTGCTAAATCGAATTTTGAAGCGACGAAGCACATTTTGGAACTAAATAAATTATTCTTTGAACCTTAACGACCTCATTTTTCGCATATATGCACAGACACTGTCACACTGGGATAGACACATCTCTCTTTAGCATATATGCATAGACACATCTCGGATGTCGAGTTGCATTGGGTTTTAATGTTTTATAGTAAGACTATATATAGGTCAAAGACAAGCGAAACGAAAATCTCATTTGATGCATTGACACATGTTAGGTCAAAGAGAATGTTGCTAAATTAGAATTCTGAGGAAAAGTTACAGTAAGACTATAGGTGAAAGACAAGCCAAACGCAAATCTTAGCATTCAACTCGTGGTAGCCGGAGTCACTTTTGAGTCTTGGAATTCGCCGAGTTGATTAGCAGGTTTAGAGATTTTTAAGAAAATATTAATGAAGGAGAAATTTCACCTAAAATCATAGAATTTTGGATCTTTATATTTTTAACTAATAAATTCCATGAAATCTAACATTAAAAGTCATTCAAATCTACTACTTAAAAATTTAAAATGTTTCCAATATTAGAAATGATTTTAAAATTCATGCTTGAATAACATAAGATTTGTCGATGTAATACAAATCACTCCAAATCATTAGTCAATACAACCTCCTAATTATGGGGCTTTGCATCCTTAAGTTATTCTTCATTCTTTCTAAAATACAAAGGTTTTCTTCATATTTTTATTGCATTGTAAAGAACATTCAACTGTGGATCCTTGAAAATTTTCAATGTGGTCTTCCCCGAAATTGTTCTTTCAACACGAGTTGCAATATATATAATATATATTTGTCCCTTTTACTTATCATTATGTATTCCATTCAAATACCTACGTTTCAAATTGCACATAAACTCCATAATTTATCTCACACACAAACACACATAAACCATACAATGCACAACATAATTAAGGTCATAGATCATAAGATAATTAAGGTCATTACACAATTATGGTCATAGGTCATACACTCATACTTGATCCCACCCAACAAAACCATATCTTAAAACTCTTAACTTGAATGCATCTTAGCCTCCGCTAGCTTGTCGTCAACATACCAATCTGCAATTTAGGAAGAAAGATCAAAAGTTAAAGAAAAAACAGACAATAATCCGCAGAGATCTCATGAAATTGACATAATAAACAAGTATCATCTACCTTTAAATATAGATTTAGATTCCTGGTTTAGGACTTGGTCTGCAGAGAACTGGGAAAGGATCCTTCTGCCCTAAGAATTTGATAACCTTGGCTTGGTACTCAACAAGAGGCCCATCACGATACTCCCGAGCCATAAAAGTGATGTAAAACCTCCACGCAGCTGCTCCCCTTTCAGTAGCTCTCACAACATTTACCAATTCCAAAGTCTTTTTCTGTGAAAAATGTATAAAAATTCCAAATGAACCAAAACACGAAATTCGTGTCCATTTTCTTATAAAAAAAAAAAAGGTACTTCTTTCGACTCACTAACCTTGGTTTCGTTGTGTTTCTTAACACACACATTAGCAAGCTTTGCCATGAAATCCCGAGTAGTGTTGTAGCCATTCATTTTTTCGTCTAGATAAACATTGTAGATTCCGTTCAGATGATCAGGAAGGAAACCCTGAAACAAACAAACAAAAGAGATTAGTTTTCATCTATTTTTTACTGATTTAATAAAAGCCAAATTGTAGGCAACTAACTAACTAGGCAGGCATACACAAATCTATTGGTCCATCTATATTCAGCAAAAAAGCAGAATGATTTTGCAAGTGATAAGAGAAATTATTAAGTGAAGAGGTTAACTTAAACAGATATACCAAAGGTTACAAGAAAAGAATAGACAATTTTAATATACCTTACTGTTGAAAGCCTCGAGCCTGTCGTTGTAGTATTCGTCATAAAGTTGCTGGTTAGAGCCGTACATCTTACGAACCCTGGGGTTGATTTTAAACTCGTGACCATCAAAGCTATCGACGTCCCACTCTGGTTCAGTTTCCGGTAACCAGTTATACCCAGCCCACTCGCTGTCGCTGCCGTCGCTATCGCTGCTGCTATCGTCGCCTTCCTCGTCAATCTTTTGCTTTTTTATGAGCGAAGAGTTAGCATCCTCCTCCAACGCCAATGAATCCTTCGTAAAACCTCGTTTCGCCAGCTGTTCATCGCTTAGTATGGTTGCCATTGTAGAGAAACCAAGAAACCCTAGATCAACAATTCGATTTGGGGATTTCAGATTCCCCAGCTGTAAAATATTAATTAGTACAACCAAGTTTTCAGTATTGACAGTTATACCCTCACCTTTCATTACTGCTATTTGGGCTACGGCCCATTAATTAAAGACCCAATCCCTTCTCAAAACCTTATTTTATACGGCCCACGACCCAACGTTTTAGCAGTCCACTGATCCGTTTTTCGATTTCAATAAATACATAACAAAATGTGCAAATAGATGACACGTGAATGATTGGAAATTTTTGAATTAAACAAAAAATAATTGAACATTAACTTCTTTCTCTAAGCAATTTTTTCTATATAATGTTAATTTTTTCAAAAAAATTTGGTTAAACAGATTGAATTAGTTTTCCAACTTATTCATATCAAATGATAAACAAATAGATTAATAGTTATTCAACTCTTTCAGTTTCTTATTTTAAATGAACTATTTGCATCTAAAGTATGCAAAGGTTTTCATGTAGATAAATGATTGAAAATATTGAGTTAAAAAAAAAAAGAATTTGAACAACATTTCACTCATTTTTCTATGAAATAGTAAATAAATGGATTGAACAATTTTCTTCTATAATTTGTTCAGTTTTCTAATTTTTGTAGTTGAATCAATTTTCCAACTTATTTCATCTCAAATAGTAAAATATAAAATGAATGAATTCAACTTTTCTAATTTCTAAATTTACGTCAACTATTTGCACTTAAAAAATAATAGTAAATTGACATTATAATCAAGTAATTTTTATTTGGTTAGGATTAATAAGATTCAATCTTATTTTCAAATGCAACTACTTGTTGGGCTCTAGTTTTGATAAAAATACTAGAATTAACCTACACCATAAATCGTCCCATTCCTCAATAAAAGTTTTTGGATATACAAATATTTGTTGAAAAAGTGATTAAAAACATAGGAGGTTAACACTCATAAGAAGTTGGATACGGAGGATATAACTGTTTGTTCTATGAGGAAAGCAACGGACCATATAAATCTCAAGGGAATTGAAAAAATTGATAGAAGAAAAAAAAAGTTAATATTTATAGGCGTATACTTTAATTTATTTTTATGTTTGTATATTTATATATTAATTTAAAATGTTGATGCATCATTATCCTGTTTATATAATTTTGTAGGGTAGATCAAACAAAGTGTTTACCATTAAGGTTAGGTTAATTGAAGAACAAAATGTAACTGCTGAGAATACCGCAAGAAAGTGGACAAAAGTCATGTAGGTATAACCATTGATATAAATGTGGGAAAAGTGAAGGAATTAGCTTAAATTCAAAGTGTACAATAGTATTATTTAACAACTAACTAAAATTAAATTTCAATTTATGTCACACGTTTTTAGGAAATTTCAAGGGTACCCCAAGCCACAAGTTGTTTTGTTTGCTGCAAATATAAATGTTTAAATACACTTTTTTTTTCACAAGACTAATTTTGAAGATTGAATTACATTACTTCTCTATAGTCTATACACTATATCGCTATTTAATAAAACTATCAAAAGTAACTAAACCGTTTCAATTTTACAATATCCATCCAATTTAATTTAGATCCTTTGAACAATTTAATTTAATTTAATAAATAAAACGGTTTAGTAAGTTCACTGCACGGCACAAATTAACCATTATCCACCAATATAGTTCAAAATTACGGTCGTAGGCTCGTAGCTAACAATATTAATTCAACAAAAAAAATGTTGATATGTCATTCCGAAACATTCTCTTATTGATCTAAATTGTAAAGTCCCATTAGTTTTTGAATTTACTTCAATAAAATCTTGATCTTCGTTAGGTCGGCGTCAACTTAATGGGTTTGCAATTTAGATAGAAAATTAGACATTGTTCAGAAACTAAAAGTCCATCTATACAAATTCATTTTCTCTCTTGTAATCACCTACTTAGATGGAGGGTTTAGGGCTTGGTCTGCAAAGTATGGGAAAGGGAGGTTCATAATTTCCAGCATACCTCATCACTTTGGCTTGGTACTCTACAAGAGGCCCATCCTCATACTCCCGAGCCATACACGTTATAAAAATCTTCCATCGAGCTCCTCCGCTTACAGTAGCTCGCTCAATACTCACCAATTCCACACACTTTCTGTTAAAACCTCATAGCAGTTTATGAAAGGATTTCTTAATGTATTGATATGGCCTCATCGGCTTATATACAAACGTACAATGTTAAACCTAGTAAACATGTTACAGCAATATCTTGTGGGCTAAGCTAAGCTAAACCGAGGCCCATATGGCCCAATACCCCCCCTCAAGGTGGAGTGTGGAGATTCCGAACACCCATCTTGAGTAAAAAAGCTTCAAATGCCGTCTTCCCCAATGCCTTAGTCATGACGTCGGCCAGCTGTGAAGTCGTGGAAACGTGTTTAGGAACAATGGCACCACGTATAATCTCGTCACGAATAAAATGCAAGTCGTTTTCGATATGCTTCGTGCGAGCGTGATAGACTGGGTTCTTGGCAAGGCTAATGGCAGATAAGCTGTCCGAGTAAAGCGTCGTGGGAGCAGTACAATCAATTCCCAACGCAGGTAATAACTCACGCAGCCACAAGATCTCACAAACGGTGTCAGCCATCGCTCTATATTCAGCTTCTGCTGAAGAGCGAGAAACGACATCATGTTTCTTTGTTTTCCATGAGATAGGAGAGCCACCCAATTGAATAAACCAACCAGTGAGACTCCGACGAGAAACAGGACAGGAACTCCAATCTGAATCACACCACGCAGTAAGAACAAGAGGTGTGTTTGCACGGAGAAAAATACCTTGTCCCAGACTACTTTTCAAGTAGCAAAGAACGCGAAGAGCTGCAGTCCAATGTTGTTCCTTTGGCTGGCTCATGAATTGCGATAAGATATGGATTGCGTATGACAGTTCTGGTCGTGTAACACCAAGATAAATCAACTTCCCGATGAGGCGACGATAACGAAGTGGGTCAGGAATAGGCTCTCCCTTAGCCACTGCGAGTTTATGATTTTGCACCATAGGAAAAGCGACCGGCTTGGCACCTAACACACCCGTAGTTGTGAGAAGATCAAGTGTATACTTGCGTTGACAAAGATAGAATCCCGTAGAATTCCGAGCTACTTCAATACCCAAAAAATACCGAAGAAGACCAAGGTTCTTCATGTGAAAACAATTACTTAAGTAACACTTGAATTTTTCAATAATGGCTAACGAGCTGCCGGAGATGATAATGTCGTCGACGTAAACAAGCACGTTGAGAAAAGCAACAGAATCATCGAACGTGAACAATGAGTAGTCTGACACGTTTTGAACAAAACCATATTCCTTTAAAGCTGAACCCAACTTTGCAAACCAACATCGAGGCGCCTGTTTCAACCCGTACAAAGATTTTTTAAGACGACAAACCTGTGACTTATCTTCGGTACGAAATCCCGGTGGAAATTGCATAAACACTTCCTCATCTAGATCACCATGTAAGAAAGCATTGTAGACATCCATTTGGTGTACCTCCCAGTCATTCGATGCGGCTTGTTGTAAGAATGCACGAACCGTAACCATTTTTGCAACAGGCGCATATGTCTCATTAAGATCAACACCTTCGGTTTGATTATTCCCAAGTACCACTAACCGAGCTTTATGTCTCTCCAACGTACCATCGGCGTTGTATTTCAATTTGAATACCCATTTACAACCCAGCGCTTTCTTGCCTTGAGGAAGAGTTTCAACTGTCCATGTACCGTTGTCTTCGAGTGCCACAATTTCATCTTGAACTGCATTTCTCCATTCTTCTTCTAGAACAGCATCTTTATAAAATTTCGGCTCAGTACCAGAAGTGATAGCCAACAAGAACGCTTGATATGAATCGGTAAACCGTGAGCTAGAGAGGAAATTGTCAATTGGATATGGAGTTGCCGATGGATGTGGTTGATGGAGGAGCATTGTGACATAGTCTGCAAGTTTAACTGGTGGTTTCTTTTTACGAAGGCCAGGTCCTAATTTTTCTGGACTGGGTGATGTCAAAACCGGAGTATCAGAATTGAATGAAGAAGGCGTAACCGGAGTGTCAGACAGAGTCGTAGAAGTGGACAATTCTACAGACTTTTTCGATGACTGTGAAGCTGCAGATATGACGGGAGGAGTTGCAGGTGTGTCGGGAAAAATTGCAGGTGTGACGGGAGAAGTCGCAGGTGATGACGAAAGAGATGAATCTGGCGTGACCACTGTTCTAGGAGTCACCGGGTCTTCCGATTCACTGGAATCTTGTGAAGTTGATTCCGGTGAAAGCAAAAGTGAAGACAGAGGAGCGGGAGCAGAGTCAATATCCTCAGCCCTTTGAATGTCGTCATCGGAGAGAAGAATTGGTGGTGAAGAGTCGGACTGCAAATCCATCTTCTCATCACTGCCCAATAAAACAAAAGGAAATTCATCCTCATGAAAAATCACATCACGTGAAACAGAAACCAATCCGGTTTCAAGATCATAAACTCGCCATCCTTTTTTCGCAAAAGGATAACCCAAAAACACAGCTCTCTTACTTCGTGGAGCAAATTTGTCTCCTCCATGTTTTTGATTATGAACAAAACAAAGACACCCAAGAACACGCAAATGTTCAAGAGGAGGAGGACGACCATAAATCAGCTCGAATGGTGTTTTTCCCTTGAGAAGTTTGGTGGGAGTGCGATTAATGAGATAGCCTGCAGTAAGCGCGCAGTAACCCCAAAATTCTATGGGTAGGTTGGCTTGAAAACGAAGTGCCCGAGCAACGTTTAGTATATGCTGGTGTTTGCGCTCAACGCGACCATTCTGTTGTGGTATACCCACACACGATGTCTCATGAATGATGCCTTTCTCTGCGAAGAAATCTCGGAGACAAATAAATTCGGACCCATTATCGCTGCGTACCGTACGAACGTGAGTCGAGAATTGGCGCTCAACAAGAGCTAGAAAATTTTTGAGATGAGTTGGAGCTTCTTGTTTGGAAGTAAGAAGATATATCCACACTGCTCGTGAGTAATCGTCAACAATAGTCAAGAAGAATCGAGAACCACAAAGTGCTGAAGTCCGATATGGTCCCCAGAGATCACAATGAATTAATTCAAAAGCCATTTGAGAAGTAGTATTGCTCAATGGAAAAGAATCTCTTGAATGTTTTGCTCGAATACAAATCTCACAAGAATGTGAATCAAAAGAACTACTACTCTTAGAAAAATCCAACAAATTTAATGCTTTAGAAGAAGGGTGTCCTAAACGCTTGTGCCACAACGCCAAAGACTGTGAATCCGACCTTTGTACTGCTGACGCAACCGCAACCCCCCGGAAAAAATACAAACCGTTTCTTTGCTCACCCGCACCAATCACCGTCCTCGAAATGCGCTCATGTACCACACATAGACGATCAGTTATCTGAAACACACAACCACTGTCATGGGTCAGCTGTGAGACGGAGATTAGATGACATTTTAACTCATCAACAAAATACACTGCAGATAATCGTAGTGACGATCCCAACTGAACTGTTCCTTGACATGTCGAAGTAGTGAATCGACCATCAGGAAGTTTAATTAAAACCGGAGGCATGTCGCAAATATCATTCAAAAAATCCAGGGAACCTGTCATGTGATTAGAAGCACCAGTGTCAATAATCCAAGATTCAAGAAACCACTTACCATTGAGACGTTCAGTGGAGGTTGATTTTCTTTCCTCAAGCATCTGAACAAGTGATTTCCATTGATGATCATTCAACCCACTTAACCCTACTCTGTCCGCGTCGGTGATTGTGGCGGTGTGCAAAGCTGAACCCGACGAACGTGAGACCATCACAGCATTTGCTTGTCCGCCACGTGATGTATCAACAGAGCCACGGCCACGAGACATTTGAGACGGAGCTGCTGTCGTGACACGACTGTTGTTGGGTTTGTTTCTTGGCTTCTCAACCCACCATGGTGGATATCCGATCTTCTTAAAACAGTTCTCATCAAAGTGACCAATCTTTCCACACAACTTGCAAGTGTGATTTCTGTGATCAGCGTACGGTAATGAGTGAGATTGGGTTTGGACTGCAAAACTCACCCCATCGGTCCTCTCGGCAAGGAAACGACTCGCCAACTTGGATTCATCTTCTTGCTGCAAAACGTTATATGCCTCTTCCAACGATGGCAATGGAACACGAGATAACAGAGAGGATTTTACCGTAGCATAAATGGTTTCGTCGAGACCCATCAAAAGCTGATGTAGCTTGTCCTCTTCTCTCTCCTTTCGTACTTCCTCCATTGTTTTTGCCTGTTGATAATCAGACAAACTCTTCCACAGACCCGAGAGCTTGCCGTAGTACTCGTCAAGAGTAGATCCTCTTTGACGACATGTGGCCAATTCAGTCTTCAACCTTTGGACACGCTGACCATTCTTCACACCATAACGCTTCTTAATATGTGTCCAAAGTTCATGTGAGTCATCTAGATGTGAAATTGAATCAGAGATATTCTCTTCAATTGTCACTTTCATCCACGAGACTACCAAAGCATTATTGGCAATCCAATCTTCAAAGTTTTCTGAATTTTCTTCTGGTTTTGGAATTGATCCATCTGCGAACCCAAATTTCTTGCGTGCAGTTAAAGCCAAACGTATGTTCGTTGCCCAAGCTTCATAATTTGGACCACGTAGTAAAGGTCTTGAAATTATGACGCCCGGATTATCGCTAGATGACAAGTCATACGGAGAAATCGTCTTCCTTTTAGTGTCAACCATGGAAGACGTGAGAGCTGAACTTGTCGAGGTAGAAGCAGTGGCGGAGGCAGAGGTTTGATAGGGGGGTCAGTTGACCCCCATGAATTTTTAAAAATCCATTATATGTCATTAGCAATAATTCTAACGACCCCAACTTATAATAAATTTTGACCCCAATACAAAATTAATATTGCAACTTATAGTTTAAATATTTGAAAGTTTGATTTTCACTAAAATTTTAGACCCATAATTAACTTTAAATAAAAGAAATACTCACCTAATATTATTTCAGTTTTTACAAAACACCAAAAAAAATATTAAAGTTTTTAGTGTATTATCTTATATTAAAAAAAAAAATTTTGACCCCCATAACATAAATTTCTACCTCCGCCACTGGGTAGAAGACGATGATGAAGTCATCTTTTAAGAAATCTCTCTGTTAGCAGAAGTTTTTAACAGAGATTAGGTCAAAGAAAGAGGTGAATAAGCGGAATTTTTTTTTTAAAAACTAGATCAAGAGAGGTCAGATCTAGGCTCTGATACCATGTTAAAACCTCATAGCAGTTTATGAAAGGATTTCTTAATGTATTGATACGGCCTCATCGGCTTATATACAAACGTACAATGTTAAACCTAGTAAACATGTTACAGCAATATCTTGTGGGCTAAGCTAAGCTAAACCGAGGCCCATATGGCCCAATACTTTCCCTATCAAACAAAATGAGATTCATATGTATGTTGATTCAAATCACATATGATGATCCTTGATACTTGTCACTTACCTTGTACTCGTTGAGTTTCTTAAAGCACAAGGAAGCCAAATGTGTCAACTCATCTCTATTAGTCCTGTTTTCACCCGCTGGTGCTTCCAGATCACCAAAAGGGTAGATTCCGTTTGCGTAATCTGGTATAAACCCCTGACAAAATCCCAAGAATAAGTAATTTCATCATCTTCTTTGTAGTAATCTAAGGCAAAATCGTTGGAAATTATACAAGAAACAGAGAAAAAACACACATTTACCTTACTCTCCAACAGCTCGAGCTTGTCGAGACGGTATTCATTATACTGCTCCTCGCTGGTGAAATGCTTACGATCCTCGGGATCTGATTCGTATTCGCGACCATCGTAGCTGTCCACATCCCACTCCGGTTCCTTTTCTGGCACGTATTTAAATCTCATACCTCTCCAAACGGTATAGCCGTTGTCGCTGGCGTCATCTTCCCTGTCTTCCTCTTTGACGTCATCGCTGTCATCATCTCCGTCATCTTCCTTGTTTTCTTCTTCGATTATGTCGTCGCTGTCATAATCTCCGTCATCTTCCTTGTCTTCCTCTTTGACTTTGATTTTTTTCGTGAGAGGAGAAGCTGATTCCTCCTCCGCCACCGATTGGGAATTCATGATTGGAAAAGCGAAGAAGCCCTAGAAAAGGCAGATAGTAAAATGCAACAAAGAGGTTAAGTATTTACGGTTAGCTAAAGTGGTGAATTTTTGGAGTAGTGTTTTTGTTCTTCCTAAGCATTTTTATGCTAAAGTGGACTCGCTTTGTTCCGCGTTCCTTTGGAAGAATAAAACATGCTCCGCCTCGGGAGCGAGAGTGGCCTGGAAGGATATTTGCAAGCCCAAGGAAGAAGGAGGTCTTGGTATTAGATTGCTTGAGGAGTTTGAGGTGGTTTTCAGGTTGAAACAAATCTGGAATTTTTTCTCTAACTCGGGTTCGTTATGGGTTGCTTGGCTAAAAGGAAATATTTTTCAGAGAAAGAGTTTCTGGTTGCAGGAGGTGTCAAATCGTTTTTCTAAAATAATCAACAGTATGCTTCATCTTAAACCCACCATTGTTGAGTTTATGCGTTGTGAGGTAGGAGATGGTGAAATTGCCTCTTTCTGGTATGATGCTTGGACAGATTTTGGTCAGCTTATAACTTTTCTTGGAGCGGCTGGACCTAGACAACTGCGAATAAGGCAGGATGCATTAGTAGTGGAAGCTTCAAGAAATGGTAATTGGATTATGCCGGCAGCGCGTTCGGATAATATTCAGATGTTTATGGCAGCTTTAACTGAGGCTGCTGTGCCGCATTCCAACAGGGGACATGATACCTTTCTTTGGCGCAACGCCTCTGGTTCTTTCCTCCCTTCCTTCTCTTCCAAAGACACTTGGGAGCAGATTCGGGTTCACTCTCCTCTTGTCCCATGGGCGAAGGTGATTTGGTTTAAAGAGTATATATGTGCCTCGGTTCTCTCTTATCGCTTGGATGTCTTTGCTTTCTAGATTGCCCACTAGAGATAGACTTAGGGGATGGGGCATGAATATTCCCTCCTCTTGTGTTCTATGCTCTCATGGGGATGAGACACATGCGTGAAAGATATGAAGAGAAATGGAAAGATTCTTTATATTTTGATTTCCTTTCAACTTAGTTTTCGATTACAGAGGTACAATGGTTTTATAGAGATTTACATCTAAACCTAGTGTACCCTTGACTGTCATAGCTGGCTATTGACCATCACGTGGCATAGCTGTCGTCACACGATCCTAAGCGCGTCAAAACGGTTTTGCGTTGTCACCTCCGTACCATTTGTCTGTTCTGCTAATGCTCTGTTTTTGGCTTTTGTCGCAGGTAGCCGTTGTACGGTTTCTTCTGCTTTTGCATTGTGTTGGACTTGGGCTTGTTTCGGATTGGGCCTGCTATCAGTCTCTGGGCCTGTGTCGTTGATACTCCCCCTCAAACTTGGAGGAGGTGGGAAATCGACGCCAAGTTTGAATCGCAGAGATTCGAAAGGAGCAGTGGCTAGAGACTTTGTGAAGATATCGGCGAGCTGCAAGTGACCCGGTATATGATTCACAATGAGTTCACCAAAAGCAACCTGCTCACGCACATAGTGATAATGTGTGGCGAAGTGTTTGGTGCGAGGATGAAACGCAGGATTCGCTGTAAGATAGACAGCCGAGAGGTTATCACAGAAGAGTTCCGGTTTCTGAAGTTGCGGAACACCCAAATTTCGAAGCAAATTAACGAGCCAAGTGATTTCAGAAGCTGTCTCCGACATTGCTCTGTATTCAGCTTCAGTGGAGCTTTTGGCGACTGTCGGTTGCTTTCTTGAGCACCAAGAGATTAAATTGTTGCCAAGGAAGGTACAGAACCCCATAGTTGAACGGCGTGTTCCCAGGCAACCTGCGTGATCACTATCACTATAAGCCCGTAGTTTGCAATCCGTTGCTTTGTTGAATGCAATTCCCATTGTTGTTGTGCCTTTTATGTAGCGAAGGATTCGCTTGAGAAGATGAAAGTCTGACACGGTTGGTGCGTGCATCTTCTGACAAACATAATTAACTGAGAACTGAAGATCTGGCCTGGTAAGAGTGAGATACTGTAATTTACCGGCTAAGCTGCGGAAGTAGGTTGGATTGTCAAAAAGCTCTGTTTGATGTGGAGCTCTCTCAGGTTGCAGGGGCAGTGGTGTTGCAACAGGAGAGCAATGTGACATTGCAGCTGTGGCAAGCAAATCCTCAGCATATTTCTGTTGAGAAAGAAACAACCCCTTTGAGTGGAATTGAGCTTGAATTCCTAGAAAGTAGCTCAATCTCCCCAAATCTTTCATTTTGAACTGTTGGTTGAGATCATGAAGAAGATTAGAGAGGAGCTTGGAGTTGTTGCCTGTAATTACCATGTCATCAACATAAAGGAGAAGCATGATCACATCTCTGTTCTTCACACAAATAAAAAGAGACGGGTCAGACATACTACATATGAAACCAAAACTCAGCAAAAATTTGCTAAATTTATCAAACCAAGCCCTTGGGGACTGCTTGAGTCCATAGAGAGATTTGTGGAGCAAGCACACATGATTAGGATGATCTTTATCCACGAATCCTGCTGGTTGTTTCATATAGACTGTTTCAATCAAATCTCCATGGAGGAAGGCGTTTTTGACGTCCATTTGTTTTAGTTCCCATTCCATGACTGTTGCAAGATGAAGAACAGCCCTGACAGTTGCAGATCTGACAACAGGAGAGTATGTCTCAAGATAATCAATACCCTCTTCTTGCTTGAATCCCTGAGCAACAAGTCTTGCTTTATACTTGTCCAGAGATCCATCAGCATGTAGTTTTACTCTGAACACCCATTTGGAGCCTAGCACATGCATCTTTGATGTAAGTGGAACAAGTGACCAGGTTTGCGTTTCAGAACAATTTCCCATTTCTTCTACCATAGCAGCAGTCCACTTTGGATCTTTTAAAGCTTCAGTGACTGTAGTAGGCATAGGATATGAAACTTTATGTGTAAGGAGAGCATACCTTGGATTTGGCTTTACAATTCCTTTCTTCAGCCTAGTTGTCATAGGATGAATAGATTCTGTTGTTGAAGGCAAGATGCTTGAAGATACTGAATTTTCAGGTCTAAGAGGTGATGATGGAGCGCTGTTGCCAATAGGTGAAGATTCAGGAACTGCATCATTTTCTTGGGAGGTAATACTTTGTATAGGTGTAATACATAATGGCTCATTTGGCTCATTTGATGTGTTGTTGCTTGTCTCCCCCTCGATATTTAGAACTGTGAGCTGGTCTTGTTGTTGTTGATCAATGTTGGTTGCAGGAACACTGGAGCTGGTGGTTTCTGCGGCCATTTGTTCTTGTTCTGAAGAAGACTGCATATTTGAGAAGCCTTTTACCCATGCATCAAGCAAAGGCGTAAGAGAAGACTGCTGCGAGCCAACATAAGTATCACTGAAGGGAAAGGAGCTCTCATCAAAAATAACATGCCTACTCAAATACACACGGCCAGTTGGTGGATAGTAGCAGCGATACCCTTTGTATTTCTCAGTGTATCCAAGAAAGATACACTTAAGAGACCGCGGATCAAACTTATTTTGTGCATAAGGTCGGAGAGTGGGAAAGCATGCACAGCCGAATGTTCTTAGAGCAGAGTAGTTTGGTGTCTTACCAAATAGAGCTTCATATGGAGTTGTGGAATTATCCAGCACTGTTGTAGGTAGCAAGTTACTGAGAAAGTTAGCTGTAAAGAAGGCTTCAACCCAAAATTTATGTGGTGCTTTACTCTGGAACAGTAGTGTAAGCCCTCTTTCAGTGAGTTGTCTGTGCTTCCTTTCTGCCAATCCATTCTGTTGTGGTGTGTGAGGACAAGAAACATAATGTTGTATACCAGATTCTTGAAGATGTTTTAAGAACCTGTTACTTATGAATTCACCTCCTCCATCACTCTGAAACGTTCCTATTTTTGTTTGTAAGAGATTCTCAACAAAACTCTGAAACTTGATGAATGTTGAACAAAAATCTGACTTGTGCTTTAGAGGATAAAACCAACAATATCTTGATAGATTGTCAATGAAGATTACATAGTAGTGAAATCCTTGAATAGACGAAACAGGAGCTGGACCCCAGAGATCACAGTGAACTCTCTCTAGAGGTCTTGATGCAACAAAATCTGAAGAAATAAATGGCAACCTCGAACTCTTCCCAAGCTGACATGATTCACACATCTTGCTGGTACTTTTATTGACTTGGATCACCTTATTCTTGACTAAAGACTGAAGAACTTGAGAGTTTGGATGTCCCAATCTCATATGCCATACTTCATCACTTGCTTTGACTTGCCTAGTAGAGTAGAACATCTGAAACTTGGGATTCTCCAATTTGTAAAGACCATCACTTGTGCTGCTTCCCTTTGTCAGAACCTTGTGAGTTACTTTGTCCTTTACAAGAACACCATCAGCATCAAACGTGAAGGAACAAGGATAGTCCTTAGTCAATTTTGACACTGATAAAAGAGACTTAGCTATTTCAGGACAGACCAAAACATCTTTTAAAGGGAGATTACCTGAAGTGGAAGGGAGACTTGCTGAGCCAATATGAGTAATAGGCAAGAAATTCCCATCACTAGCCATTACTGTATCATTACCAAAGTAGGGTTGCATTTGTTGCAAGCGTGAGCTGTTGTTTGTGATGTGTGCTGTAGCAGCAGAGTCAGGAATCCAACCATTGTCGTCTGTAACATCAGTGATGTGGAGAGCTGAGAACGCAGCAGCTGCAGTTTCTGACTGTTGGTAGGAGTCATCAAACCGATGCCAACACTGAAGCGCAGGATGACCTCTTTTACCACAGATTTGACACACGGGTTTCTCTCCTGTTGAGACTGAAGAACTGGAAGAAGAGAACTGTTGTTGGAATCCACGACCACGGGTTGAGAAATTTCCTTTTCCCCTGTTTCTTCCTCCACGACCTCTGTTTGAAGATCTGAAAGTGTTGAACGCCAGATGCGGTGAAACATCACTTGCATTGTAACTCTGAAGCCTATCATCGAACCCTTTTAAGCGATAGACCACATCTTCATAAGATGGACCAGGAGAAGCATCAAGAGAGCTTTCAAGAGAAGTGATTAGAGGTTCATACTCTCGTGTTAAACCATGAACCATAGCAAAGACTTTCATTTTTTCAGCAACAGGGCTTCCAACAGAGGCTAGTTGGTCACAAATGTTTTTGAGATACCGCAAATACTCCTCCATGGTTTTCCCTTCTTTTGATAGACCATGGAGTCGACGTTGCAGCTCAAAAATCCGAGAAGAAGAGATACGATTGAAATGTTTTGCGAGATTTTTCCATACCTCATAAGATGTTTTAGAACCAACAACCACACTGAGAATGTCTTCAGACAGTGATCCGAGTAACCATGCCATAACCACTTGATCGAGACGACACCAAGCTTCATACTCAGGGTTTTGGACAGCTTCAGTGACGCCGGTGGCTTGTGGTCCGGAAACAATGCTGACAGGAGCTGTGATTGTGCCATTGACAAACCCCAGAAGACCTTGCCCAGAAAGAAAAGATTCGAACTGAGATTTCCAAAGGATATAGTTGCGTTCGGTGAGTTTCACCGTAACACAGTTGGAGATTTTTAGGGACGGAAGATCATAGAGCTCCATGGATTTGTCCATGGCTCTGATACCATGAAAGATATGAAGAGAAATGGAAAGATTCTTTATATTTTGATTTCCTTTCAACTTAGTTTTCGATTACAGAGGTACAATGGTTTTATAGAGATTTACATCTAAACCTAGTGTACCCTTGACTGTCATAGCTGGCTATTGACCATCACGTGGCATAGCTGTCGTCACACGATCCTAAGCGCGTCAAAACGGTTTTGCGTTGTCACCTCCGTACCATTTGTCTGTTCTGCTAATGCTCTGTTTTTGGCTTTTGTCGCAGGTAGCCGTTGTACGGTTTCTTCTGCTTTTGCATTGTGTTGGACTTGGGCTTGTTTCGGATTGGGCCTGCTATCAGTCTCTGGGCCTGTGTCGTTGAATGCGCATTTATTCTTCGAATGCTCCTTCTCTTCAGCAATTTGGGAGTACTTCGCGGCGAAATTTTCACCGGCTCCACCGCTGGACCTCTCTGCTGCTACGGGCTGGATCATCTCTCAGCCGAACCGCTCTCATGTCACCACTATCCTAAAGCTTCTCCTTCAATCGGCAGTTTACCATGTCTGGAGAGAGAGAAACGCTAGGATCTTCACTTCCATCCCATCATCGGCCGCAAGTCTCCGCTTGGCAATTGATCGGTCTTTGAGGAATCGACTTCTGTCCTTCCCTTCTCCGGACCTGCGCTCCCCTTCGCTTCTTCAAGTTTACTTCTCTTATATCTCTTATCCCTTGTAATCTCATGTCTGTCTGTTCCTGTGTTATTGGGTGTCTGTTTTGTAGTTTGTAATTTAGGTTGTAACAGTTCTTTGGTATAAATCTTAACATTAAAACCAAAAAAGTATTTACGGTTACGTAATCACCCTTTCATTTTTTTTGGGCCTTCTCATAGGAAAGGACACTAAAGAGTTTTAAGACTACGGTCCAGCAACCCCTTCGTCTAAACTAATTACTAAAGCGAATTCATTTAAAAATGTTGGCTACAAATATATAGAGAGGAAGAAGCCTTGTGAGAATATGCACAAGTTTTGATAATGTTATCCACATGTCTTTCAGGTGCAGAAACAATTAGATCAGACGTACGATTTATCCTTAAAAGATGATTAAAACAATAATTCCTATATTGTCATTACAATATAAAAGATATTTGACATTAGATTCCAATAAAACAGTAATAGCTGGCCTAGTATCATATTATAATATATGCAGTTCACTATTTTATTCGTCAGCTGGTGCATGTATTGTTAATCTTTTATAACTTCAATGCATCTTCTTAGCCTTCGCTAGCGTCTAGCGTCAACAATACATACAATCTGCAATTTAGGCAGAAATATTAAGAGTTAAAAACGAAATGAAACAGACAATAATCCCCTCAGAGTTTGACACAATAAACAACAAAGAAAACATCACATATATACCTTTAAATTAATATATATATATATATATATATATATTTAGATTTCTGGTTTAGGACTTGGTCTGCAGAGAATTGGGAAAGGAGGTTCCACGGTCCCTATAGCGTGTATCACCTTGGCTTGGTACTCAACAAGAGGCCCATCACGAAACTCTCGAGCCATAAAGGTGATGTACAACTTCCATGTAGCTGCTCCATTTACAGTAACTCTTACAACACTTACAAATTCTAAAGTCGTTCCCTGAGAAAAAAAAAATGTACAAAATCCAAATGATCCAAAACACGAAATTTATATCCATCAAAAAAAAAAGAGAAGTAAATCTTTCAACTTTCTAACCTTGGTCTCGTCGAATTTCTGAACACACACATTAGCAAGATTTGCAGCTAAATCCCTATGATTCCCCTGGCCGTCTATATGAAGGTTGTAGATTCCGTTCAGAGGATCAGGAAGAAACCCCTTAACCAAACCAAAATAGATCCGGACAAAATTAGTTTAAGCCAATTAGGAATGCAGTAAGTAAAAAAAAAAAAAAAATGAAACTGAGAAAGACTTAACAAAAGCACAAGGGTTTTGCTGCGATAAGAGAAAATAGAATTGAGACCAGTAAGCGAAGAGGTTAATTTAAACAAATTGTACCTTACTGTTGAAAGCCTCGAGCCTGTCGTTGTAATATTCGTCATAAAGTTGCTGGTTAGAGCCGTACATCTTACGAACCCTGGGATTGATTTTAAATTTGTGACCATCAAAGCTATCGACGTCCCATTCTGGTTCAGTTTCCGGTAACATGTTATACTCAGCCCACTCGCTGTCGCTGCCGTCATCCATATCGCTATCGCTGCTGCTATCGTCGTCTTCCTTGTCGACTTTAGAGACAACCTCCTCCTCGGACGATGTACCCATCGTAGAACCAGTTAATTCATTGTTGGCCGATGTCATTGCCGGAAAAAAATGAAGGAACCCTAGAACACGATTTGGCAATTCAAGATTCTAAGTCAACAATGCGACAAGATCGATGTTGGTAAGTAATTAGGGTTGTGACATCATCTTTGGTTATTTCCCTGCGAAAGAAACGTGGCCCGGTAGATTATGGAACGGTTATTTGTAAATTAAGATACTTAATTATAGTTGAGTAGGATATTTGGTTATGTTATACAATTCAGTCCGGTTAATAAAATGTATACACCAAAGTGGAACAGAACTTCAATTGTAAAATATTGTAAAGTTTACCGGGATCGATTTGGTGTTTTGGTAAAAAAAATATTAAGTTGATGAATGATAAATTAATAATAAATATAACAGAGTTTTGTTTCAAACCTTTTAGCCCATTAAAAAAGTTATGGAAATAGTACACGAGTTGGCCGATGTTCATATGTTTTTTTTTTCCATGACTATATGAAAATGAATATAGAGTTTGGGTTCACATTTAGATATTATCATCATTACATAGGTTGAACATCTATCCAACTATCCAAGTCTCTCAAAACCTTGTTTCGGTATGAATCGATCTTTGATTTTGTAGATAAGTTCTTCGATGTCGATCGCAAAAGTTTTGGAGACACTTAAAGTTGAGTCAAAACTCCCATGATCAACTCATATATGGTTTCTTATACTTGCCTAATTTATGTTGGCTTAGGCATTTGGCTCAATGCCTCAATGCAATTATGCAAGTCTAGGATTTATCTGCAATTTAGATAGAAAATAGAAGGCAATAATTAATAAGCCCATCATTACAAATTCAATTTGTCTCGAAATCACCTACTTAGATGGAGGGTTTAGGGCTTGGTCTGCAAAGTATGGGAAAGGGAGGTTCATAATTTCCAGCATACCTCATCACCTTGGCTTGATACTCTACAAGCGGTCCATTCTCATACTCCCGAGCCATACACGTTATATAAATCTTCCATCGAGCTCCTCCGCTTACAGTAGCTCGCTCAATACTCACCAATTCCACACACTTTCCCTATCAAACAAATGAGATTCATATATATGTTGATTCAAATAACATATGATGATCCTTGATACTTGTCACTTACCTTGTACTCGTTGAGTTTCTTAAAGCACAAGGAAGCCAAATGTGTCAACTCATCTCTATTAGTCCTGTTTTCACCCGCTGGTGCTTCCAGATCCCCAAAAGGGTAGATTCCGTTTGCGTAATCTGGTATAAACCCCTGAAAAAATCCCAAGAAATCAACACAAGAATAATTTCATCATCTTTTTTTGTAGTAATCTAACTCAAAAAGGGTTTTTACATTTTACTAAGCCGTTTTACAAAAGATAAAAGCGCATATTTACCTTACTCTCGAAGATCTCGCGCTTGTCCAGACGGTATTCATTATACATGTCCTCGCTGGTGAAATGCTTACGATCCTCTGGATCTGATTCGTATTCACGACCATCGTAGCTGTCCACATCCCACTCCGGTTCCTTTTCTGGCACGTATTTAAATCTCATACCTCTAAAAACGGTATAGCCGTCGTCGCTGTCATAATCTCCGTCATCTTCCGTGTCTCCGTCGTCTTCCTTGTCTTCTTCCTCTTCGACCTTGGTTTTTTTCGTGAGAGGAGAAGCAGATTCGTCCTCCGCCATTGACGCTCGTTTCGCCGTCTCAACATCCATTGATTGGGGATCCATGATTGGAAAAGCGAAGAAACCCTAGAAAAGACAATTTGCTAAACTCATGTCTCATAGTAAAATACAACAAAGAAGTTACAAGTATTTACGGTTACGCAATCACCCTTTCATTATTTTGGGCCTTCTCATAGAAAACAAAACTAAAGAGTTTTAAGGCTACGGTCCAACCCCTTCGTGTAAACTAATTAATAAAGCGAATTCATTTAAAAATCTTTGCTACATACAAATACATATATAGGAAGAAGCCTTGTGAGAATAGGCACAAATTTAATTCATGTTTTTGAGTTTTGATAATGATATGCACATGTCTTCAGGTGCAAATAAATAATTAGATCAGACGTACGATTTATCCTTAAAAGAGACAACAACAATAATAATTCTCTACCAATGTCACCTACTTAACATACAAATATTCTCTGAAAATTCAAGAACTAAATAACGTAATATATTTGAGAATGAAGACTAGTAGAAGAAAAACAAACTCAGCGTGAATGGCATGATTAAAACAGTAAATTCCTATATTATCATTACAATATAAAGGATATTTGACATTAGATTCCAATAAAACATTATTAGCTGGCCTAGTCTTATATTATTACGCAATTCAATATTTTGTTCGTCCTCTGTCAAATTGTTACTCTTTTATAACCTGCGCTGCATATAGTGTCAACAATACATACAATCTGCAATTTAGGCAGAACGATTACAAGTTCAAAATTAAAGAAAAGAATTAAACAGACAATCCCGTCAGAGATCTCATGTAATTTGACACAATAAACAACAAAGAAGACTTACACATATACCTTTAAAGAAACTTTAAATTAATCTAGGATCTAGATTTCTGGTTTAGGACTTGGTCTGCAGAGAACTGGGAAAGGAACCTTGTCCCCTAAGAATTTGATAACCTTGGCTTGGTACTCAACAAGAGGCCCATCACGATACTCCTGAGCCATAAAAGTGATGTAAAACCTCCATGTAGCTGCTCCCCTTTCAGTAGCTCTCACAACATTTACCAATTCTAAAGTCGTTCCCTATGAAAAATATATAAATTAAACTCAAAAATAATCCAAAAACCACAAATCAAAAATAAATCTTCTCACTAACCTTGGTCTCGTTGTGTTTCTTAACACACACATTGGCAAGCTTTACCATGAAATCCCGAGTAGTGTTGTAGCCATCCATTTTTTCGTCTAGATAAACATTGTAGATTCCGTTCAGATGATCGGGAAGGAAACCCTGAAACAAACAAAAGAGATTTGTTTTCATCTATTTTTTACTGATTTAATAAAAGCAGAATGATTTTGCAAGAGGCTTATACAGATATGCCAATGGTTACAAGAAAAGAATAAAATTTTTTTACCTTACTCTCGAAAGCCTTAAGCCTGTTGTTGTAGTATTTGTCATAAAGTTCCTGGCTTGAATACATCTTACGAACCCTGGGGTTGATTTTAAACTCGTGACCATCAAAGCTATCGACGTCCCACTCTGGTTCAGTTTCCGGTAACCAGTTATACCCAGCCCACTCGCTGTCGCTGCCGTCGCTATCGCTGCTGCTTTCGTCGTCTTCCTTGTCGACTTTAGAGACAACCTCCTCCTCCTTGGCCGATGTACCCGTCGTGGAACAAGTTAATTCGTTGTTGGCCGATGTCATCGCCGGATAAAAAATGAAGGAACCCTAGAACACGACTTGGCAATTCAAGATTCTAAGTCAACAATGCGACAAGATCGATGTTGGTAAGTAATTAGGGTTGTGACATCATCTTTGGTTATTTCCCTGCGAAAGAAACGTGGCCCGGTAGATTGTTTATGGAACGGTTATTTATAAATTATGATGATACTTATAATTGATTATGTGAAAATTCGGTTATGTGATTCAATTCAGTCCGGTTATCAAAATGTATACACCAAAGTGGAACAGAACTTCAATTGTAAAATATTGTAAAGTTTATCGGGATCTATTTGGTGTTTTGGTAAATATTAAGTTGATAAATATAACAGAGTTTTGTTTCAAACCTTTTAGACCATTAAAAAAGTTCTCGAAATAGTACACGAGTTGGCCGATGTTCATTTTTTTTTCACTAGGGGAGGTCTCCGCGCCCAGCGCGGAGTTGTATGTTGATTAAGACCAAAATTAATAATTAATATTTAGGGTTATCAAGTTAGGGATATTTATTGAATTAATTTTGTCAAGAGTCTAATTTTTATAACGACATTAATATAGAATTATGGTAAAACGCTATAACTTTTGATATATATTATTAGTAATCAACAATTAATAGTGTTTTTGAATCACAAACAATTATTAGTGTTTATATATTGATATATATAATAGAATTAAATATAAAAAATCTATATATTTAAACCAACAATATATTAGCAACGCCCCGACCGCCACTGTCCATGGGTTCCCACGTCCAGTCTCGGTCTTTAGGCCCATCTTCTTTGCCTTGTCGTACTCTTGATTTTATGACATATTCATGCTTACTCGTTTCTTTCATATTAGCAACGCCCCGACCGCCACTGTCTGTGGGCTCCCCACGTCCAGTTTCGGTCTTTAGGCCCATCTTCTTTGTTTTGTCGTACTCTTGATTTTATGACATATTCATGCTTACTCGTTTCTTTCATATTTGTAATGCCACGACCGCCACTGTCTGTGGGTTCCCACGTCCAGTTTCGTTATTTGAGCACATCTTCTTGGTTTTGTAGTACTCTTGGTTTTATGACATATTCACGCTTCCTCGTTTCTTTCATATTTGTAACGCTCCGACCGCCACTGTCCGTGGGTTCCCCACGTCCAGTTTCGGACTTTAATTTGGGCCCATCTTCCTGGTTTTTGTTGTATTCTTGATTTTATGACATATTCATGCTTTTAGATTGTATGTCACTGGAGTTTTTCGTAGTTGGAAACAAATAATTGAAAAATATAATCTCTTACCATATCTCTTACCTATCAAGTAAGTCATCTTGCTCTTTGAAGTAGTTATGTACGTAAAATTTCAATGGTATAGAAACAGGCATCTCCTTTGTATATATCGTGTCATATTTATCGTCCCTATTGTAGTATCTTTGTCTCTACCTTCGCCATTGGTCACTGCGTAACCCTTCAGTTGATCTCTTGTTTATAAAACTCATATAAAAAGTTGTAAGAGAAATATCATTTTCTTAACTGTATCGTATATGTATTTGTAGTATATTGATCTGAGATTGCAAAGATGTATGCCTATCAAGAAGCTCTTAGCAAAGTAAACACTGAAGATAGGTACTAAAAATGAGAGGGTTACAGAGAGCAAGTATCTATCCATTAGAAACCACTATGTGCAACTGAGAATAATTCATATATGTACATACATACACATGTATACAACGTATTGAAGCTTTTAAATTTAAATATCGAATGCTACAAAACTGGAAAATTGCTTGTGAAGAAAGCAATATGAACATGGCCACATATATAACAAATAACCGATTATGCTTGTCGTAGATCATTCTCTTTCAAACCAAAAGTTTTACCTAAACAATATATCAAGTGACTCACAAGAGATACATAAGAGCCATATCCTAAAAATATCCGGCAAAGCAAAAACGCTCCAGGTTCGAGAAGGAAGTCATTGGAAAATTTAAGTATATACCAAACTGGAGAGTAATTCGGCTACAAAGAGAGATGTGTTGGCTTTGAAGAAAAAGCTATGTGATGCTCTACCTTTTATTTATGAATTTTATGCTATGAATATATGTTTTTGTTAGGGTTCAACATCAGTCTCCGGATTAGAGACTTATATTCATCCGACAAACAATTCGATGTCACAATCAACGCTACAAAATTGGTGGGTTCTCTCTATTAACAAACAAAAAAAAATTCTGGGGTATATATATATATATTTTTTTTTTGTTAGATCCATACGACGAAGAACATGACGAAGAACACCAAAAATTCTCATCAATCCGGTACGTTTGATCTTATTTTTATTAGTTTAACAATTACAGTTATGTCCGAATCTGAAATAACCATGGCTCCAGACTCCTTCACACCATGGCCACATATCACCGGAGTGGAGACGATTTCAAATTCGGAGCTTCTCTTCGCATATAAAATCATACATATGCTCTCTTTGTTTCGGGTTCCCTCTACAATAATTAGTACATATTTCAAAACTGAGCTACAAAAGAGCACATTGGATTTTGGTAAACATCAAGATTGCTTCCTACCTTCCAAGAAACATGATAGACTAATTCACATCCAAGACCAAACATTAGCCACATAAAGCCTGAATCAAATTAAACGATCTTATGATGCTCTTCATAATCCGTAAGTTAAAGAGACTTGCATTAATATTGCAAATTAGACTCTAGAGGTCCACAATGGTTAATCAGAGTGTATCAAAGACGACGAATAAAGTATGAATTAGAATATCAGCAGAGGAAGCACACAAATATTCAATAAACGTAATCAATCACTGAGAATAGCATGGACCCAACTTTTGAAAGATTCATAAAAAAGGAAGATTTTTCCTATGCAACAATATTCAAACAATGAGAAGATCAATGATTGATGACTAACCATACAACCGAAGCAAAGCCATAAACAGAAACGAAAGTACTAAAGAGCCACAACAGCAGTGATACGACATTTGTTTCCTCGCACTGGAAACAATGACGTGCTTCCATAAATCCAATCTAGTTTTTATGGAAAACAAACCTGCATTCATAATAAACACTACTATTAATTATTATTTTTTATGCAAGAATTAAATGGCAGTATAAAAAATTCAATGGTTAGTGCCGAAAAAAAAGCAAGGATTAGTTATGATATCAAATCAAAATTAAATATCAAGCAAGGTATTTACATAAAATTAAGGCAGTGGAGGATCTAAGAATTTTTTATATGACAATATCTACAACTAAACAAAGAAAATTTATATATTTTTAAAACAGAATCATTATTTATTTTTTGGTAAGATTAAAACCGAATCATTATCATATTAGTAAAATTATTATTTATTTATTATTATCCACGTTAATTTAAAAGTTTAAGAGAATATCTGCTTTTTTCTCATAAAAGGATGGAATAATAACATAACTCTTTTAGATTTATAACTATATTTGACATTATCATATTAAATCTATTAAGATAAATATATTTCTTTTTGAAAAATATAAATAAAATGATAATATAATTATTATGGATTTACAATTATATTATTATCCATGTCAAAATTTTAAAACATTTTACTTTTTTCTCACATAGGAAGATAGAACAATAACGTAACAGTTTAAGATTTACAACATAAAAATAATATCAGAATTGGAACGCCAAATCATAATCAACACAATTAACACAACTCTAATGGAAAATTAGAGTTATCTTGTGATTAAAATACTAAACAAACAAAACTAACTGAAACAAAACAAAAGTCTTCTTTTCAAAATCATTAACGTGACGGATTGCTGACTGATTAAGTTGAAGTTTTAGGCATTTAAAGATCTAGAAAGATGATTAAGGTTAAACATTTTTATTTATTTTAAACAACGTTTGAATGTTGACAAAAAAAGAAGAAGAAAGTGTTGGGACCATCGGGAGAGACAACGTTGAGCAGCTGCGAAAGAAGCCAACGTTGTCGATTATGTTCCTCACAGTGTTTGATTTGACTTTTGACGACATTACACTCCTGTCCACTTGTTGTCTCGAAAGTTCATGCAATGGAAAATTATTAAACAAAACAATGTACTTTTATGTATAAATCCTAGGGAAGAACCGATCAAGCTAAGATCAATGGTTGTGGTTTTAGTACCGTATACTTCTCAAATATACTCGTTGAATAACGGAAATCCGCAAGACGGGGAAGAGACGAAGTCAACCTAGCTGGCAAAGGAGCTAACCCAGCTCCTTTGGTCTTATTTATGGTCATATGTATTTAGCAAAATATGGTATACAAACCGAACCAATCAACAACAAAACCTGGTTTTAAATTGTTGTATATTTCTCAAAAGTCAAAACCCATAATAACCAATGGAACAGAAGAAGCTAATGCAGAGCATACTTACGCTTGGAGTAAAGAGTGATGCAAGCTTCCATTGGCACACCCGAAAACGCATCAGAGCATGGAAAGAAACCTAAAAACCAATAAATTAAACAATAATTAAATCTTAGTGCATGGAAAACGAATCCTATACATACCAAAGTCCGAATCTCAGTGCCTTAGAATGACCTCGATACCAAAAACTTTAAGTTACTACTTCCATATATGTAATATTTTAGTTTGGGGAGAGAGATTGGCAACGAAAAGTAATTTCTGAATTTAACAGCCAAGTTTGTTATCCCTAATCTAAAGAGAAGAATACTTAAATTGTATTAACGACAAAAATTAGCCTCCTCTGAAGATTCATCCCTGTAATAAGTCATCTTTCTGACTTTGTGGCAACTGTGTTATCAAAAGTTGAGTGTTTCTTCTAAGAAAAGACATATTTGAAAATAATAAGAACATGTACCTCAACAAAATCGGGAGGTACCTCATCTTTTTACAACAAAAAGAAACATACCAAACCATCGATGATTACCTTCTCAAAAGTTGAAACCAAACTTTTTGATTATAAAAATTGATTAGTGGTGAAAATAGTGAAACCATAAATACAAAAAAAAAAAAATCAAATTTGTACATATAAACTATAAGATCACCTGTTTATTCATTGAATTAGGTCCAAATTTTCCATACACCAGTTCACATCGTCCCCTCCATACATCCACCCTACAATAAAAAGAAAAATTAAAATTAGGTAGAAGCAAAAAAAAGTTTGAAAAAAAAGAACAAAAAAACAAGGGTTAGTTATGATCTAAAATTGAATACCATGAGCAAGGTATTTATATTGAATAGGAGGCGGTGCATGATTTAGAGTTTCTAAATTTTTCGACGATAAATACAAAAAAAAAGAAAAGAAAATTTACATATTTTCATAAGCAAATCACTATCATAATAATAAATATTTGTAAAACTGCCATTTATTCATTGTTATCCATGTTTATTTAAAATAATATTTACTTTTTTCGGTAAAAATATGGAATAATAACAACTATTTTAGATTTACTACTATATCTGATACTATCTTATAAAATATATTAAAATTTAAGGGAAAATTCCTTTATGTTTCAAAAATAAGGCGGAACAATAATATAATTTTTGATTTACAATAGATAGACATGCATGGTATCCATATGCGTCATGTCACGTTGATCCATATTTTTTTCCAAAACTCGATCTAATTGCTATTATGTGCAAAAATCACCGCCGTTCTCGTTCATGTTCACGTTAGCACTCCATACCTTAATTCACATGTAAACCTCTCTGCCTATCTCTGACTTCAGCTCTCTCATCTTCGAGTCTCCCCAAGAAAGTTTTGACACCACACCAACATTTCATTCGTCAAAATTAAATCGAGTTTGCACAAGGTTACAACCGATTAATAGGTGGTCTTCTACCTTCTATTTACGATTTTATGCTATGAATATATGTTTTTGTCAGGGTTCAAGTCAATCTCCGGATTAGAGACTTATAATCATCCGACGAACAATACGATGGCGTGATAACCGTTTCTAAATTGGTGGGTTCTCTTTCATTGATCTACATATTATTTTTTTTGTTCGTTTTTTTTTCCAAATATTTAGATTGAAACGACGACGAACACGACGATCATACCAAAAATTTCATCTATTCCGGTACGTTTGATCTTTATTTTAATTAGTTTAACAATTAATAGCCGTTTACGATTAATTTCGGATATCTAAATCTTATTAATTTGAGTAAGGTTAGAATAGTATTTTTTTATGTTTATATTAATGCTCCGATTAATAATTTTCGGATATTTGACATTATCATCTTAAATATATCAATATTATAATAAATATTTTCCTTTTCCGATTTTTTTTTTTTGGTATAATTCCTTTTCCGATAAATTATGAAACAGATCTGTTTACACAAAAGGTAAAAAAAAAAAAAAAAGGTTATGACGATAGGAAGTTAATGTATTTATAGGAGGTTAAATATGTGTTTCTAGGGTTTACGATTTAACATATAGTCGGTGTAGTTGTATATTTTGTTCGGCCCATATTGGTTAAACGGATTACACAATGTGGCCTTTTATTTAAACGAAAATCATTTAATATAATTAGATTAAAAACGGAAAAAAAACAAGAGCTCAACAAGAGCCGTGAGTCTGACACGTCAGCAAAAACACTTCTTATATGTAAATTTTGTTGCGAATATGTAAACATTATCGTATAAAAGTAAAAATGCTATAATTTAATAAAATAACTAATTAATATTCGAATTTAATAAAAGGTATTTAAGTAATCACATAAAAGCAAGGGCTCAACAAGAGCTGTGAGGCCGACACATCAGCAAAAACACTTCTCAAATATTATTATATATAGATGACTATATGTAAATGAATATAGAGTTTGGGCTCACATTTAGATATTCTCATCAATACATTATACATCTATAGGTTGAACATCTATCGAAGTCTCTCAAAACCTTGTTTCGGTGTGAAAATCGATCTTTGAAACTTATCGATGTCGATCTCCAAAGTTTTGTAGATACTTAAAGTTGAGTCAAAACTCCTATATGGTTTCTTATGCTTGCCTAATTTATGTTGGCTATAGCCGAATCACAGTCTTATTGCGCAAAGGATCCAAAGAAACAGAGAAAAGGCCAAGAACTATAATATTTACAAGCCCAAACTGTCATTAAACCATTGAAGCCCATGAGATTCCCGAATGATTGAATTGAATCAGGTCGAGAAAAGGATAAACAGAGAAGAAAGAGAGTGATACTTCATTAGGGAAAAATGAGAGATAGAAGGAAACTATAGAGATTGTTAGTCAAACAAAAGGTTACTATTAGTAAAACGATAGTGGGTACAGCTTTAATAAACTTAAATGCATTCGAAGATCATAAAATACGTAATTACCCTCCATTTTTATCCAACATTAGTAAGGTTTAGTAAAGATGGATGTAAATTTCATAGAATTCTAGTCAGTTTTCACCTTTAAATTTGAGGTTTGAGGTTTGCTCCTTTGTTTTGATAAACAAATAACCCTCTCTTTCTCATTACTGTCTTTAACTTCTCCTCAAAGGTATCTTTGATCATGCTTTTTTTTTTTTTTGTTAAAGCTTCCATGGGTGTAAGATGTATGCATTTCATGATCGGTGTTGTAAACAAGATTTCTGTATTTCTTTTCATCGAAAAATGGGTTTCTTATTTGTCTTCCCTCGCACATTAATAACTTGTTCATAAAGAAATATGATCTCACATATATAGATCATCAAACTTGTTCAAACTATTTCTCAATGAATTGAGAATTACATTTATAATCGCTGATTATAATTGAATCTTAAATCATTGTAGACTATTATAATCAAAGTTCTATTTTTTTTTGTTTTATCTATTTTATAGTTAAGATCACTGTTGATTATAGTTTTAATATATCTATATTCAACAGAAATGGAAGACTACAATGATGTTTTCGGTGGCATTGGAACCGGAGGAGGGAAAGGCAAAGGGAAAAATATACCAAACCAATGCAAACTGGATGTTGAAGCTCGACGTGAACAAGCGAAGAAAACACAACAAGCTGGTGAAAGAGCAGAATCAGTCGAAGAATTTCCAATTCCAGAAGTGACGTTTATGAATTTTTTAAAAATGCTTTTTTTTTTTTTTTGTTGTTGGTTATTGGAATGTTTAATAGTATTATTATTATTTTTATTTTTTTTGTTCACCTTAGTATTATTTTGTTTATATGTCAAAATGTTATCTATTTTGTATAGGATTATGGGGATGGTAGTCGTATCGATTTCTGTTGGACTCGTACACATAAGCATTTGCTACAAAGAATTGTAGAGCAAAAAGAAGGTATCAATTATTTATATTTCCATATTCCAAAAGCGATTCTTATAGAGTTAATAATGCTAATATGTTTTTGTACATTGCAGACGACTGTTGGGCTTGGGCTCTAGTTAGAATCTTACAATTTTACTACAACACTAGATTTTAATCCGCGGTACACCGCGGGATGATTTAATTTTAAAGTTAATATTAAAATATATTGTAAATTATATCTCCTTATAACATATTTATTTATATTATAGTTTACAATTGTTATTAAGTAACGGTATACCACGAGTCCACGAGACAATTTTTAATAAACTGAGGATTTAACCCCTATTAAAGCGGTATATAAATATTGATTCAAATTCGTTCGCCATATAAATCCTTTCCGAAATATAACCCGTTCCGTAATTTCTTAATCCGTCCCGTGATTTGTTTTTATTTTAAAATTTAATGATCATTTATTATATATAAAAGTTTACAAATCATATCATTCTCTAAGAGATTTATATTTTAATAAACTAAAGATTTAGTATGTATTAAAGCGGCATGTTAATGATATTTTAAAATTTTATAAATATTGTTATTAAGTAACATTATACCACGGGACAATTTTTGGTTTTATACAATCTTTTCTAAATGAGACTGATTTAAAATGTCTAATATTTGTGGTATTAAAAAATAAGGATTTAATCCGTAGTGAAGCGGCGGATTAATGATATTTTAATCTTTTTATTATTGTTGATTCAAAAACCCGTTACGCCAAACCCGTCCGGCCCAAAAACTCATTTATTTTATTAATGTTCTTATTTATGATATGATTCTGAATCATTATCTAAATATTTTAATCGATGTAGAACGTTGAACACACATTTTTCGTCAATTGGATAATATATGTCCGTTTTTAAAATTTCGAATCACAGTATATGCAGAAAAAAATTGACTTTTTTTTTTACTTTTTGTATTATATGATGATTCAAAACATTTAAAAACAAATCAAACAAAGATGATAGGAGAATCATAATTATAAATCTTAATCAAATCTTCTAAATATCTAAATTATTAAATATAGAATATTCGGTGTATGAGTTGAGTTAAATATAACCCGATCTAACAAATTTTTTGTGAAGGAATTTAAAAAACGGGTCGAATATCCGATTAACCCAAAAACATTTTTACCCATCCGTCACCAAATTGTTGCAAAAATATGAACATTACCGCAATTGCTGAGCAGAAGACCTTATCAATCAAATCACTTGTCAAATATGTGATACTTGGCAGGAAAGAAGCAGAGAAGAATAAGAAGTTATTAGACAGCAAAAGTTTGGCTGTCACTTCATTAAAGAGAGCTATTGACTACATTCACGAGACAGGAATTGAAAAAGATTATGGAACACAGGTTTCCATTCGCTTTATACTTTTTCTATATATATGTTACATGCATGTTTATATCTTCGTACAAACTATACATTTCTCTTACCATTTCAAAAAAAAAAAAAAAAACTATACATTTCTTTAGTTCGACTTACTATGTGTGATTTTATATATGTTTAACAGATGTACAAAATCAAGGCAAGCTTTATCACTAAACCCGACGCGACTCCGGATGGAAATCCGAGGATTACTACTCACTCAAGGTCCTATTGGTATAAGTGTTAATGTATGCGGAATATTTGGTCGTGCTGATGAGGTAACTACAGAAATGTATAGTTTGTATTTGTATAGAATAAAAATATCCATCATTACAACGGCTATTAACCGATAAAATTTATTTATGATTGCTTATGTGAAACTGTTTAAGGAGATCTATATTTTGCCTGAACCGAAAGAAAATATGAAAAGACATGCTTTGATCATTGTGGGTTTTGGTACAACAAAAGATGGCAAATTGTTTTTCATTGTCCAAAACACGTGGGGGACAAAATGGGGATTCAACGGATATGCAAGAATTATCATCAAAAAGACTTGTCCTATATTTGACGTGAGTGGTTTGGTTAACTAATTTTAAGTTTAAAATAAAACATATTTAACTATCTTGTGAAAATGGTCAAGAATTTATTATTATTTTTATGGATTTAATTATCGTTATGATTGTTGTTTTTATCGACTCTAATCTATGCCTTGCGAGACTAGTATTTCTTAAATTTTTCATAATGACTCTAATAATTTCAAGTTCCTTTGACTTGTACTTGTTACACTAGTTGAACTATTGAAGTATATGGCAAATCTTCTTAGTATTTGAACATAACCTCAATGATATATATCATTAGAAGGACTACAGAGTTATATTCATAGGTCACACATATAGGTCCCAAACTTCACTACACTTAACACTTAATATAATAAAGCTTATAACTACAACCTCATTGCATCATGCGCCTTGGTTAGCTAGGCGTCAACATACCCAATCTGCAGTTTAGAAAGAAAGATTAAAGTCATAAAACATAACTAAGCAGACAATAATCCCATGAGATGTAATCAAAACTGACACATTTACACATCACATACAGTACTTATTAAATGACTTAAAAAACAAAGAATGATATCATACCTCAGATGCAAGTTTAAACAGAGAGTTTAGGACTTGGTCTGCAAAGAATAGGGAAAGGAGGTTTCTCGTTTCCTGCATAGTTCATGACTTTGGCTTGGTACTCAACAAGAGGTCCATTAGAATACTCTCGAGCCATAAACGTTATATAAGAATTCCATCTAGCACCTCCTGCGTCAATAGCTCTCACAATCTCTACCAATTCCACAGTATTTCCCTATGGAAGAATCAACAACCCAAATTTAATGAATCCAAAATGAAAAAGTTGTGGATTCATTTGTGTGAATCACTAATTTTAACCAAATCACTAACCTTTTCATCGTTTAATTTCTTAACACACAAGTTATGTCATCAACTCCCGAGCAGTCATGTTGCGATACGCTCTTTCTTCAAGATCTTGGATTGGGTAAATTCCACTCAAAGGTTCTGGAAGAAATCCCTTCAAAATTACACAAAATTGAAAAATAAAATCGATGAAAATTTTACAAGAAAAGCTAAAAAAGAAGTGATCGTTACCTTACTCTCGATAGCCTGACGCTTGCGGATACGAAATTCTTGATAATCGTCTTCGTCGGAGAAAAACTGACGATCTTCGGGATCGGATTCATATTCACGACCATCGTAGCTGTCCAAATCCCACTCCGGTTCTGGTCCTAGCACGTATTTATACCTTCTGTCGATATCGCTGCCTTCCTCTTCGACTTTGTGCTCTTCCATGAGCGATGAGTTCACCATATCCGTCGCCGAAGCTTGTTCCGCCGTCGATTCAGGAGCCATGATCAGAGAAACCCCTAGAACAGCTCTTCCAAAACAATTTTGGAATTTCCAGAAACGGAACTTAAAAGAGTATTTTGAGCTTATTATTTTGTAATGAAATCAACAGATTTTAACTTAAGATCTTTTTCCAAATCGAGGTTTTTTATTCAAATCAAAAAGTGTCAACAAAGGAAACACTTTTTTTTTTTTATCTGTCTGAGACAACATGAACAACAACAAAAGAAAAACAAAGCACATTTGACTCACACTCTCTACTCTGCAGTCTGATTATTCTCAGGCAATATCTGCAACGCAGTTCTGTTACTGCTTTTTATTGAGAGTTCCTTCACCATCTTTCTCAGTTGCCTCACGCTCGCAACTTCCAAGATCTCTTCATCGATTGTCACCTTCTTCTTCTTCTTACCTTCCTCGCCTTTGCTCTCTCCATTCTCATTGTTGTTAACGTTCATCATCATCACCTCCATGTTGTTCTCCTTGTTCTCATTGACCAGCTTCAGAGCCGAGTTCTTTAATGGAGTTGTTGATTTGCTTGGTCTTGGGAACTGAACTGAGATTGGTTCTGCTGCAAATGGAGATACCGGAGTTGTTTTGATGACTTTAGCCTCTTCAAGAAGAGGAGGTGAATTTGGAGCAGTAGCAGTAGAGCCTTCTGATTCCGAAAGTGTCATCTCTTCATCAGCAGTCTCAGATCCCAATACGGCTTGGTTCGACTCAGCTTCAGAGATAGTGCCGTCTGAGTCAACACCAGAATGTTCTTCGTCCGGTTCTGTTTCTGAATCACCAGCATCACTGTCGGTTTGGTCCACCATTGTGTCTTCATCAAAATTGTTGATCTTCTCAGGTTCAGAGTCATTCTCCTGAATTGCCTGTTTGGGTTTTGAATCACCAGCATCACTATCAGTTTGGTCCACCTTTGTCTCAGGCTCAGAATCATTCTCCTGGATTGCATGTTCTGTTTCTTGTTGGTCTACTGGATTATCGAAAGTTAGAACGTTCTTGGACTCTGCGAAAGGAAGAAAATATGATTTAGAAATGTAAACAAGAACAATGGTTAAGGCTAGTTATTGTAATAGTAGTTGCATACCATTATCATCATTGTGTGTCTCAGTGTTTCCAGATTCCAAGACAGGAATATCAAGATCAACATAAATCTCAAGATCTTCAATCTCCTGATCATTGTCATTCTTCTTCGGGCCTGCCTCACAGATAGCATGCAATGTTTCTTCTTGTTTGTCAGCTTGGACTAAGCTATTCTCAGATTCTGTGAAAGAAAGCCACACCATTTAGACATGCAAACAAGAAAATTAATTGTAAAGATTGATGGTATATGAATGCTAGCGTTACCTTTTTCATCAGCCAAAACTTCATTCATCTTCTCCTTGTTGGTCTCAGTATTTGCATCCATAACAGCAAGATCTCCAACTACCTGGTCAGTGTCATTCTTCAAGTTCTCCCATACTTGTTCCATGGAAACACTTAAATCTCTACCTGGGATAACTTCACCCTCTGAACCTGCATATTACCACAAAATTCATTACAGATCAACCATTTTTTTTAATTTAAAGCAATGAAAGAGTGAAACGGCATTGTATCTAACCAGCTGGATTCTTCTCCTTTGCAGATACATTTTGTTCTGTATCTTCATTCTTGGCAGGTTTATTATCCAAGGTTTCTTTAGTCTTCAAACTCAGATCAGCCATACATTTCTCTAACAGCCTTGTTGATCTCCTAGTGCTGTAGACCGACTGGACCAATTCATCCTTCTTACTACAAGAAGTTGCTGCTGAAGCTTTCCTTGTGCTTCGTGCGGCAGGAGTTTTGGGCACATTGGCTTCAAACCTGACAGTGTTAGTCTTCGGTTCTTGAGCAACATTCTTGTTTACGTTTTCCAGGTCCATTTCTCCAGCAAGAGACTTGCTCGTCGCACGACAAGAACGGGACACCAACTGAGATGATGGCTGAGGATCAGCTTTTGTTGTGGTCTTTCTTCGAGTTGTTCTAGCTGCAGTATTTGGTGGCAGCTTTGCTACACTGGTTGGAGACTGCTGAGCATTGGATTCGGATTGATTCATGTATTCATCAAGACCATCAACCTTGACAGAAACAAAGCATTGCGATTATTTAGTGATGCAATTAACCCTGCACAAGAGCCACCACCAAATATGGAGTCTCTTTGCGTTAAACGTAACCACAAGCAATGACTCAAGATCAAACACATAGACAACTCAAGAGCAAAAAACACGACTCCAACTTGATTTCACAGAAAATTGATCTAAACGCAATTTCTAAACATTTATGAGGATCAATCAAATTCACCAAGCTAAGACTAATCATCAACCTCTGGTAATCGACGAATAAGGAAGTGATCACCACAACAAATCAATAACGAGCGATCCCGATCAAGTCAGAGTAAAAATTGAGGTAAACGATTCAATAAGGCAGAGATCGACAACAACAACAAATCTGAGATCTAAAATTTTCAAAATAAAAACGAGTTCTCAATCTTGCTCGATTTCACAGATCTTCGTCATTTCCGGAACTTAAACTAAACGAACAAGCACGATTTCTATGCGAATCATAGAAATGAATCCATAAACAACTACAGATCCAGGAACTTAATCTTCATTTGAAGATAAGAACAACGAAAAGGATGCGAGTGTGAGCGATAACCAAAATTGTTCAGATTCAAAAATGAAATTGAGCGAATCAGATGGAGAAAACTTACAATCTCAAGAGATTTGAGAGCATCGGCCATGGCAAGGTTGGTCATATTGGCTGGGATTTTGTTCCTCTTGCAGAGAAATTGAAGATCTCTTCTCAAAAGGCTGTGGAAATCCATTTCCGCGAAATCGAGAGAGTGAGAAATTTCTGGTTGGGAGAGAGATTGAAGTTGGCAGAGAAAACAAGATGTTTTTTTGCTATGAGTGTAAAGATGAGAGGAAATGGGGTATTTATACCTCGTTCCCAAGAGAAGCCATTGAATCCCTAAGATTGCAAGTGTGACCGTTGTTGTTGGAGCGGAGGTTTGAATTTTGAATTTTTTGGGAAATTAATATTTTAATTAGTTTCTCTTACACTCTCTCTCCACCTTGTCACTTGTATTTGCCAAAAAAAGGAAGAAATATTCCGAAAAAGGACACCAAAATGAGAAAATTACAGTATTTAAAGAGCATTTTAGGTCATTTTTAGTTCAAATCATAGGATTTTAATAGCAGTTTTATATAGTTATGGGCCGTAAATTAGTAAAAATGAAAGTATAGTTATGGGCCATATAAACAGTATAGCCCATTTAAGGTGTTGTGGGCCATACATTATGTATAAGGTGTTATTCATTAGCTTTCCCTTTGTTAGATAAGTTAATATATGATGCAGAATTTTCAAACTAGAACAAGCATTACATAACATTCATACATCCATAACAGTTTTACTTCAAATTTTATGGTAACATTTGGAAAACATCACATAATAGAAAGAGTTTGTTTGCTATGAATGGTGAGTCTTGTCCAAATCCTCGAGACTTGTTGGACGGAACCAAGCTTTCTCCTCCATCACTGAGTCCTCCTGACCGCCGCGAAAATCGTCATTTGTGTCGGTCGAGGAGGAGGAAGGTCCAAAGACACCAGTTTGAGGATGAGGAGACCAGTATTTGTCAGAGTCGGGTTTTATCAATTCATCCGGCACTTTACTCGACTGCAATTCTTCCTCTACGTTCTTATCATACCCCGATGTGTGATTATTCCTGTTCAAAAGGATAACAAATTTGTTTCTAGCGATAATATTGGTGAATCTAAGTGTTGAGGTTAAAATTTGAAATTTGTTAGGTGAGACATTGATTGACTATACTAACCGCATGAATAAAACAAGAAAAATGGTTAGAAGATAAGATAACCCCACAAGAACAACTACAAACATGGTCCCTTCAACCAAAAAGATTAGATAACTTTAATTAATTAGTGCCAGGAAATACGTTAAATATTCAAAAATGATAAATTAATTAGTAATTAGGTGAACAATACAGGTTCTTAATTACTATCACTTCATTTATCATATTTAAAAAGCAACAGAACAAAAAAAAATGAGGACCCTCTCCAAGATGTATTTTTCTCACTTAGCTTGATCCTCTCCGTGATCAGAGGAATAATCTGAATGTAGACACGTGTCATATCCTGAATGGAAGATTTGGTTTGAAACTTTTTGGTATTTATCCTCTTACGCCATATGCCATATCCGACTACAGTGTCATGACGGTCTAATAATAATTTAAATATGTATCGTTCCTTTTGGGTTTTATAAAAATCTTTGATTAAAAACAAAAAAATTTTTAATGTATTTCTTGTAAATGTCGGATATGATCATTTGCAAATGTTGGATATGATCAGTTGAGTTAAAGATCTCCAAAAATACACCACTCTATATTTTAGTCACAAAGAAATTAAAGAGGGGACACATTTGTGAAAGTTTTTGAAGCAAGCTTTTGTTTCAATGGAAGCAAGTTTTTGTTTAGATTTGGACCAATAACAATAAGTAAAAATATGAACATATCCTCTAGAACACAATAACCTAACCAAACTATGTCCATATTTAATTAATATTTCTCCCTATACTATCATCTATAACAACGTAAACTCTCAAAGGAAATTATCAAAAGCAGAAACATGGAAAGAGAAAAAGAGGGAAGGAGATACCGAGACTTGAAGAGACCATATGCGACGGCGCGTGAGAAAGAGCATGAACGAACGCCGTTGACTATGTGCTTCCCGATCACCTGAACGCTCTTCGATTTGGCTGCCATTAACTCTGTTTCTGTACCAAATATTGAGAGAGAGAGAGAGAAGAGTGAGAGAGAGTTGGTTAGTGTGTAAGAGAAGAGATGGGAGGAGACATAAGAGCACACCAATACGATTCGTGTGTTGTGTTGTGCTCCATCGTTACTTTCTTAAAAAATTCTCAATTCCCCACCAATTAAACGCCACCGTTTTGTTTTTGACGACTATGAATTTTTGTACAGCGTGGACATGGACCTGTAACGGGCTCTTCATAAGGAAGCCCATCTTGTAATACTAAAGGATGATTCATGGTGGTGCAATTAACAAAATAACAAAGCAAGAAGCTCAAGTCAACGAAATTTGTGTCATTAATCTCCCATCATTATTAATTTTAAACAATAATCAAAAGGTAACATGTTAATGTTCATAACAAGATTCATGGAATAGAACATAATTAAATCAAGAAATTTGAAAAATAGGATATAGAAATTATTTGTGATCCTTATTTGAGGAAGATGAGAAGAGTGTGGATAGTGAAGAAAAAAAAAAAGAGAAGAGTGTGGACAGAGTGGACCGTGCATAACACACGAAAATGTTACGATTACCACGAAAAGGTTATCTCTTGGAGCTTTGACACCTCCTCAAACAAAAACACAAAAAAAGCTTCTCTAGCGCTTCCTCACAAAAAAAAAAACGCATGCAACAACATTGATACAACAAAGAATCAATCAAGCTTCTTCGTTCGATCACACTAGAAAGAAAGATGGCTGGTGCGATTTCAGGAGCTACTGTCTCTTCCTTCTTCACCAAAACTGCTTCTACTTCAAACCCATCTCCTAAACTCCACTCCTCTGCTTCTCTGTTTTCACATGTCTCTCTCTTGTCTTCAAATTCTTTTAACACGAATCTGAAAATCTCAATTAAAAGTTTGTTTCCAATTGAGGGTCGAGTTCAATTTCTCGTTTTCTTCCTCAACTTAGCTTCATCTAAAAGTATGAATCTTTTTTCTCTTGTTTTGGTTTGTGTGTTAGAAAACTGGGTTTCAGGGAGTTTCATTGGAAGATTCGAAGAAGAGTGTATCAGAGATCTTCGCTGTCTCCGAGAGAAAGATCGGAGGGTTAAATGAGTTGAGAAGATTCGAAATCAAAGCGAGAGCAGCAGCTTCTAAGACGATAGAAGTTGAAGTAGACAAGCCTTTGGGTCTGACTCTAGGACAGAAGCCAGGCGGTGGAGTTGTCATCACCGTGAGTTTTTTCACTAACTCTCTGCAATGGAATGGCCTCTTTGTAAATATGTTGTTTGATAATGTTTTTGGTTTTCAGGGTGTGGACGGAGGTGGGAACGCAGCAAAAGCAGGACTTAAATCTGGAGATCAAGTGGTGTACACAAGCAGCTTCTTTGGAGATGAGCTTTGGCCTGCAGATAAGCTTGGCTTTACTAAAACCGCTATTCAGGCAAAACCTGATTCTGTCTACTTTGTTGTTAGCAGGTGAGTGTTTTTGTTTGCCTCTCTTGTTTTAGTTTTGGTGTTGATCTTGCTAGAAATGTGGCTTCTGCCTTTTAAAATAAAGGATTACATTGAAATGATCAATCTTGTAGCAGATATGTTTTGTTTCCTTTGAATCCTGGGCACAAAAAATCAGTGAAAGCTATAGGCTTTATTAAGTATTCCATGGTCTGATACTATAGTTGATAAGTCTTCTTGATGTGCCAATGTGTAGATTTAATTCTCTTCTTATGCTGTCGCGTTAGATTTTCGCAATGCTGAGCTTCACAAGCTGCATAAATCAGCACCTGTGTTTTTTTTTTTTCTGATTTTTTTTGAGGTTCTTCATTGGTTTCTGATGCAATTTATGATCTTTGATCATACACAGAGGTGCAGAAGTTGATGTCAAGAAACTAAATAAGCGTCCAGCTCCTCCACGGTTTGGAAGGAAGTTAACTGAGACTCAGAAGGCTAGTAGTAATTGTTGTTTCTAAGATTGAATTATTGAATCTTAGAACATTTTTTAGAAGCTTAACTAAATTGATTTTTCTTAACACCATTCTCTTGTGCAGGCAAGAGCTACTCACATTTGTCTTGATTGTGGATTCATATACACTTTACCAAAATCTTTTGATGAACAGGTGAGTGTGAATCCTTTAATTTCAGTGTATACAGTACGATTTTGGCTGCATAAACTTTCGTTTTGGTTTGGTTTTTATGTCTATATCTAGGTTTCAGATTTCTTATAACTAAGTTTTTAATTGTTTTCTCTCGGTATTCTTTTTCAGCCGGATACATACGTATGTCCTCAATGTATAGCACCAAAGAAGAGGTTTGCGAAGTATGACGTGAACACAGGAAAGGCCATTGGAGGAGGATTGCCTCCGATTGGTGTCATTGTTGGCTTATTGGCCGGTCTTGGAGCTGTCGGAGCTTTGCTTGTCTATGGTCTTCAATAGATTTTCTAAAAGCTTTTATAATCTCTATAAAACAAGTCCTTATTTGAGCTTTGTAATTGAAAACCAAGAATGAATGTTGATGACATCAACTTGGGAGTTAAATTATTGTAAAGCATTTTTTGATTCTCTCCTTCTTATGTAACTTTGGTTCTCTCTATAGTCAAATTAGTGCAGCAGCAAGAGAAAGCTAGCAGCCATTGGTGCCAGCTAAAAACAGAGAAAGGTACTTCTCTAAGTTAATCGGTCGTCTTTTAGTACTTTTACGTCAATAGAAGCTTTTAAAAAATGTCTCTTAATTAATTACATAAAAAGTATCAAAAAAATTTTTTTTGATAAATAATAAAAAATATCAAATTGTAATTTTGTATTTAAAAAAGGATAAAAAAAGAACTAATTTCTATTTTTTTTGGTCAATAGATAAACTTTCTAGTTTCTACCAATTCTTGTTATATTTATAAACCTTTTAATTAAAGGTCTACACACGTCAACTTACAAATTTCCTTCCACAATCTTTGAAGTCTACCATATATCAATTCAAAGAGTTTAAACGATGGCCAACGCAAAAGACGTGAAAGAGTTCAAAGAAACTTTCAAGAGATTTGATCAATACGTAAACGGAGAGATTCCATGGAGGGAATTTGACATGTCTGGCGTACGCAAACGTTCTACTCCAATGACAAAGTCTGAAATCGACAAAATATTCGTAGAGCTTGGAACTCGTGGTGAAGATAGAGTCTTCAGAGCTTCCAAGTTTTCCGGTAATCCTCTTCATCCAACATCTGTCTCAGTTAAACCTAAACCTAAAGATGTGATTAATGTGGAGGTGCAAAAAGAATCTTGTGTTAATAATCATGACAAGGACGAAAAGAAAACAGAGAATCAACTTCAAATTCCAAAGAAGCCTCTCGAAAATATAGTGACGAATGGAGGTTGGGTTGTAATAGATAACAATGATAAAGATTTTGAGTTTTGTTAGGTGTAAGATCTTTTCGTTTTGGTGTTAATTGAGTTTACTTTAGGACTTTGATGGAGCTTTTTTTTTTTTTTTTTTTTTTCTCTTTTATTATAAAAAACAACCATTACAATCATCACATATTTAATATCTTTATGATAATAACACCAACGTTCTGTTATTATTATCTTACTAAACCATCAAGAAAAAAAAAGTGATTAATGTACACGTTCGATTAAAAGTCTCTAAATCAGTGAACAAAATTAGGGTATACTACTATATAATTTGGCACCAAAGATGGAAAGATTATATAATTGATGACGCATTATAATATGAATTTTGGAAATCAATTTTGTTGGGCTGAAATTGGGCCCATTAAGAAACCTCGACGTGCGATACGCGTACACCACACAAGCGCCACGTGCTTAATCCTCCGTACATCTTCTTCTTCCTTTTTGTACTAAAAAATCAACAAAGGCAAAGAAAGATCTAAAACTTGTTCACTAAGAAAAAAAAATCACAATCAGAGAACCAAAACCGACTCAGATCTAAAACTCATCGATCTAGATCGCAATTCTCCAATGGCTCTCGAATGGGTTGTGTTAGGTTACGCAGCAGCAGCTGAAGCGATCATGGTGATTCTCTTGACGATGCCTGGACTCGACGCTCTCCGCAAAGGATTGGTTGCTGTGACTCGTAATCTCTTGAAGCCGTTTCTCTCGATAATTCCGTTTTGTCTCTTCCTTCTTATGGATATCTATTGGAAGTACGAGACTCGACCTTCTTGTGATAGTGATTCGTGTACTCCTTCTGAGCATCTTCGTCACCAGAAATCGATCATGAAGTCTCAGCGTAACGCGCTTCTGATCGCGTCGGCTCTTGTTTTCTACTGGATTTTGTACTCTGTCACGAATTTGGTTGTGAGGATTGAGCAGCTTAATCAGAGGGTTGAGAGGCTCAAGAACAAGGATTAAGTAAGAGCCAGCTGCTTCGTCCCTCGTTGTCCTCAGGTCCTTTTGTTTGACTTTCGATGAAAAGAGTCTCTTTACTTGTGTTGTTTTAGGTTTTTGGTGTTTTTTTTTTCCTGCGTTTTTCAATGTTTTTGCTCTTTGTTTCTTTTGGGGATTGAAGGATCTATAATTACTTAAATATATGCTTCTTCAATGCTTGTTTGATCTTTGATCTGTTGCAAGTTTGGATCTTGATTCACTCAGTTGATGATACTTGCAATAAAACTTCAAACTTGGAGTCTTATTTGATTGTGTTCTAATACCTGGGTTTGATAATCATGAACTGTTAATCACCCAATCATTGTTCTTTTCACAATGATTCATCAACTTAAGGACTCCAGTTTTAAATTGGAGTAATCCATACTTTTCAATTTTAAGTTCTTGATAAGGTAATGTAGGCTAATTTTAAGTTCCATGGATCTTAATGAACATCTTTCTCAATCCCTCTGTAACAGAGTCAAAGAGTGTTTGAATCTTTCTCTTCTTCTCCATAGTCTCAGTTATTGCACAGGTTAACATCCCAACTTTGTTTAGTATAAAGCAACCTCAGAGAGTTTTAACTCTTCCTTTGTGTTTGTGGACACAAAGATTCAGTCTTTATTAGATGATATGACACCAAAACCCACTTTTCTCTGCAGGATTCATTGCAGTAGTAACCAACTGAAACATTTATTCAACCAATAATGAGAACAAATAAACGTTTTCTACATAAAAAAAAAAAAAAAAAAAAACTCAGGGAAAAACGGTTCTCTTCTAAGAAAAAGTTGAGAAGAATCCATTTTCTTTCTTGGTTCTTCAAGGAAAGGATCTCACAAAAAGGCATACTTAATACTTTTTCAGACAATTCACTTTTGAAGCAAAAAAAGACCCATGAGCATTTTTGCAGGTAGCAAACACCTTGTGACCAAATGTCGCTGAAACCATATTCACATTGTTCATCACTATATCTGAGCATCCCAAGTCTGCATCGCAGTTCAATGTAATGGCTTGATCGCTTGCAGATGACCCACGGATACTAGAGTAACGCACATCACTCACTCTCACGCCTTTGCCATTACCGGACTGAGTCCGTTGTTTTGCTGCTAAATGACAGTTTTGATAGCTATTAGATGACTTGCTTCTTCCTCCGTTCGTGCCTCCATTGTGGTAAGTCTGGTCTATGATAATAGGGTTCTCTGAGGCAACCATGATGATATCCTCGAATGAGATTTTCCGAGCATATCCTGATCCATTCTACAAAACATTCACACAAAAATAGAAAACAGATTTAGTTGCGAATATGATGAATAAGACCAAGAACTAATGATGAATAGTAATAAAAGATTAATGGACAACCTGGTATGTCTTGATTCGGACACCATTCTGTGTGTTTGTAAAAGTGCAGTTCTTTACCCTCACTTCTTCAACAGTTGCAAAATCTCCAGTTACTCCAAGACTTCCTACGCTATTAGTATCAAATCCATACTCTATATGATTTAGTTTGTACTTTGGTGTATATTATATGATGATTGTTTGTGAATCTGTGAATTTAGGAATCACCTGATGCCGTGACCGGGGCCACAGAAAATGCCGGTTATGTTGATATGAGAGGAACCACTATTAATGGCGATGCAGTCATCTCCAGTGGCAATCACAGAGTCATGTATGTGGACTCCTTTACAGTTTGATATGTCAATACCATCCGTGTTGGGACTATCACCGGGGGCTGTCATCCTTATACCCGTGACCTCGATGTTCTGTGAACAACTTAGACCTACATGGTTCCGAGGACTGTTCAAATGTCGGAGATTAGATATCCTAAGACCATTACAGTTGTTGAAGTGCATTGCCTAAGAAACCATGGAAGAAACATTAATAATAATTGATAACCAATTTGACCAAAGTTCATATTAATGTGTGAGAATCTTGCAAATGGACTTACGGAGGGGCGAGTATTAACGTTGCCCCACCACAAAGAACCACGAGCGTCGATGGTGCCACCTCCGGTGACAACAAGACCGTTGATACTGTCAAAACTAATCCATGTTGGATATCTTCCCGCATACCAAGTGTAACCCGGTGCCACAAGATTACCTCTTATCTAATGTAAATAAATCACCAAATTACTTAAACATTTGGTTCGAGTTATTTTTACTAAGCTAAAATTGATTACTATTGAAATCATATTTCACATAGCGGCTGAATTTCCCAATATAATTTGAAACTAGAGAAAGAGTCAAGTATATATATATATACCGAGAAGGAGATAGAAGAAGACTTGCATGGACCGATGAATGCAAGAGGCTTAAGCATGAAGGTTTTCCCTTGAGGCACTAGAATCTTTGTATTGCGTCCTCCTTTGCATACAGCTTCCCATGCCTTAAGAAAAGCCTGAAATATATTGATAACATAAACATACATTAAAGCAAAGATCATACATACCACTTTGATACAAATAGTGATGATTCTATATATACACACCTTAGTATCATCGGTCTCTCCATCACCAATAGCTCCGAAACTAGTGACACTTATGAATCCATTGCTTCCAACTCCGTTTTTAGACTTTTGAGCTTCTTCTTCTAAGCAGAAACCTAATTTGTTTATTTGAAACAAACATAACAAGAAGAACAACAACGAAGATTTCATCTTTGGACGACCCATGCATATGCTTGATGATGAGAACAAATTTCAAGGATAATACATTACTATATTTATATATCTAAATGTATATAGGGTTGTATAAAGAAAGGTGGTTAATTGATAGATATTGCGTTTGATTTTGTGTTTTTATAGTAAGAGATTATCGCTAATCACTAATTTTGTGTGCTATAAATTGGAAACTAATCTTGGATTATAATTGAGATATTGAAATCTTTATAAATTAAGGTATATTCTAATTTATTGACATATTTAACAAATCGCAAACGATATAGTTTACCGTTTTTTTAGCGACAATAGTGATAGTTTACTTATATGCTTGATTCTTTCTAATGTTATATAGCTACATGATTGATTCGAGGAATGAATGAATTATGGCTTATCTAAAGATAGAAATAGATTCATCATTAACTCATAAGAGAGACCTTTGGTTGAATCATTTATATGATGAATCCGAGGCGCCACTAATTTTTGATTCACAAGAATCTTTAGATTGATTAAACCGAAATGTAAATGACTAAACCTCAAACTCGAAAGAATTTGTTAAACATTAGTCCTTCTAATTTCTTTAGTTAGATAAATAGTAAATATGAAATGAATAAAGATAAATAATAAGTCATGGATACAAATGATAGAATAATATTGTCATTCTCTTTTCTTTTTTTTGGTCAAGAATATTGTCATTCTATTCATTTTAGTAAATATAGTAAGAAAAGATAAAATGTGTTCCTCTTTAAAAAAATATTTGATTTTAATTTTCAGCAAAGTAAATGGAAATTTATAATAAATGGTGAAAACTCTTAAGGTAAAATTTATTCAACCAATAAGCTAGACTTATTAGTTAAAAATATCAAATGGACCAAACTTTAAATAATTTAATTTGCTCTTAATAAATTTATTTGCTTACCTTCATTTCATGTAGTAGCAAACCGATCCGGTCCGATCTTGACTGAACTAAACTGAACTAATCAAATCAGATTTGAAACCAAACCAAAACAGAGAAAGTACACGCTATTGAAAGTACCATTACGCGTGGAACTATCTAAGAATAAGGAGGAGAGAGTAGAGTGCTTTGCCGACTAAAAGCGAGTGCGGTGTTTAATGATGGGTTTGTCACCAACTTTACATTTTCTTACCAACGAAGAAGAAGCCAAAAAAAGCAAACAATAAAATTGGAGAAGAAAGATATTTAAAAAAAAAAAAAAAAAGTCAGCATCTTTGGAGTTGGAAGTGAGAGAGATGGAGAGGAGAAAGGTTGTGATGTGTGGTGTCTTATTTCTTCTTGGTTTATTATCAGCTGTTACTGCCTTCGCCGCTGAAGCTACTCGAATCAAGGTTTCTTCTTTCTTCTTCCTACTGAGACATCACTTCTAGGGTTTCTGTTTTGTAGTGAAATTTGTGATTCTTTCTCATGATTTTTTGGGTTAGTTCAGCTACAACGGTTGTTGAAACACTCTAAAGAAGTTGTTTTTATATGTGGGTTTTTGTCTTCTTTTCGTTTTCCTTTCTGCTGATTTTGAAATTCATTGGCTGAAAAATGCGTTTGAGATGAAAGCTTCAATCTTTGAGATATGAGTTGAATATAGATTGGTGGGAAACTCGTTGGTTTGGGAATTTTTACTTGTCAATGAAACAGCAATGGTCCCCATTAACGGTGATATTTTTTTTATAGAACTTGTTAAATCCAAACAATTGGAAGATCTTTGAAAAGTTTATTAGTTTTTGTTGGTGTGTTTTGGTAATTGCATATGTATTTGTATGTTCAATGTCAGATTCCAATTAATTAACATATGGTTTTGGATTAATATCATGTTAGATTCAGTCTATTGGATCAAAGTTATAGACTTTCTTAATGGGGTTTTATGTATTGGTCGATTGAGTTGAATGTTCTTTGTTAGAATCAATTAGTCATAACTCATAAGGAATTTGTAGGTATGTAAATGAACGAAGTTTCTACAATACTTAATTATATTCTCTTGAGCTAATTTGTCTATTTATAAAGTTGTTGAAACTTTCTTGTGTATTTGTGAAATGTTTCAAACTTTTTCTAAAGGTTTGTTTTTTCATTTTTATCTTAAATCGATGCAGAGATCTCAGGTCAAGGTTACTGTTTCGGATTCAATCAAAAAATGCACTTATCCAAGAAGTCCAGCTTTTGATCTCGGCTTCACTTCAGCTCTCTTTCTGTTGATGGCTCAGATAATAGTCAGCGTCTCAAGCGGTTGTTTTTGTTGTAGAAAAGGTCCTGCTCCTTCGAGGTCTAATTGGATTATCTCCTTAATCTGCTTTGTTGTTTCCTGGTAATTCTCATCATCTCTTTTCCTTTTCTTGCTTTACTTACAATTTGCTTACTACTAGTGATCTCGCGGTACTGTAGGTTCACTTTTGTAATAGCTTTCCTCGTGCTGCTTACTGGAGCTGCACTCAACGATGAACACACCGAGGAATCAATGAATGCTGGTACCTACTTTTGCTACATTGTGAAACCAGGCGTTTTCTCTACCGGCGCTGTGCTTTCGCTTATTACTATTGCCCTTGGGATTGTCTACTATTTGTGTTTGACTTCAAGTAAGCAAAATGTTGCTGCCACAACGACGGGCGCAAACCAAGGAACAGGAATAGCAATGGGGCAGCCTCAGATTCCAGAGAGAGTAGAAGATCCCGTCTTTGTTCATGAGGATACTTACATGAGAAGACAGTTCACTTAAAAACAGACAAGGCTTGCTTGTAAAAACACTTTAGGTTTAGGAGAAGATTTAGACAAAAGGATTAAAGGATTTGTGTTTGATTATCTTTGTGATTCTTGTATGTGAGATCAAGACTTAAGAGTATGAAACTTTGTATGATTTATTGACTGAAGTGGAAATCCTTGAGAACCACAAAAACGTCACTTAATTGGTGTAGTTTTTTTCTTCTTCTTAGTTCTCTGTTTCTTTCTTATTTATGCAAGTCAAAAGTGGTTGTTGGGAAGGGAAGTGTTGGTCTCTTTTACAACAAAAACCCTACCCGCCGGTCCGACCAAACGCGGTTTGGCACGTGCGTTAGGAAAGAAACTTCAGATTCCTTGATCATGGTTCCAAACGAAAATATGAAAACGATTAGGAGTGTCCAATTTAGGCATTAAGCTAAATGATTTGAACCAAATTTTCCGAACCTAATAACACATAAATTCGATAGCGATATATAATAGTAATCAAAATTATATTCCGAAACAAGTGATATTTGAGACTTGTAAAGTTTGTAGAGAAATTTGAATGACACATCCACCGTTAGAGGAACAACCACCACATGCTCTACTTAACCCTCACAACAACCAGTTTCTTCCGATCTTGAGTCTAATAAAATGCCAACACATTTTCTCTCATCTCTTCTCATTTATAAACAAGTTCGATAGCCAAATATTAAAAAGAGCATATAGTAAAATCTTTCTTCTTCGTAATTTTTCTTATTAAACAAAGTTATTGTCAAATTATAGAATGGTTGTGAAACTATATGGACAGGTAACAGCAGCTTGTCCACAAAGAGTCTTGCTCTGTTTTCTGGAGAAAGAAATTGAATTTGAGATTATTCATATCGATCTTGATACATTAGAGCAGAAAAAACCAGAACATCTTCTTCGTCAGGTAAAAAACAAATTTATTAAACTTAGAAAGTAAATCATTGCTTTATATCCAATATATTATAATTATTATTTTCTTGTAGCCATTTGGTCAAGTTCCAGCCATAGAAGACGGAGATTTCAAGCTTTTTGGTAACATCCTAACAACAACATTTTATAAAAAAAAAATTTCTATCGTTAATATAGTGTTTTGAAATTTGGCTCTTTATCTTCTAAGAATCACGAGCCATTGCGAGATACTACGCGACCAAGTACGCGGACCAAGGCACGAACCTTTTGGGCAAGTCTCTAGAGCACCGAGCCATCGTGGACCAGTGGGCTGACGTGGAGACCCATTACTTCAACGCTCTGGCCCATCCCATCGTGATTAACCTAATCATCAAGCCTAGGTTAGGCGAGAAATGTGATGTCGTTTTGGTCGAGGAGCTCAAAGTGAAGCTAGGAGTGGTCTTGGACATATACAATAATCGGCTTTCTTCGAACCGGTTTTTGGCTGGTGAAGAATTCACTATGGCTGATTTGACGCACATGCCGGCGATGGGGTACTTGATGAGTATAACCGATATAAACCAGATGGTTAAGGCTCGTGGTAGTTTTAACCGGTGGTGGGAAGAGATTTCGGATAGACCGTCTTGGAAGAAGCTTATGGTGCTGGCTGGTCATTGAATTAGCTCGAATTTATGATGATCTGAACCAAATAAGCTTTATATATTTTCTGTTTTCTGTTTGTGTTGTTTTGTACGTTTCAGTAATAAATTCAATTTACTTTTTAAAGATTTTATGTCAATGACCATAATTCTCAATTTTTTACTCTAAAACGAATAGAGTAAAAAAATAAATTTACTTTCAATGTAGAGTAATCTTATTTTTACTCTATTTTTGAGTGAGATATAAAATGGTTAGAGAGCATTAGTTTTTAAGTATGTTTTCGTACCATAACACTTTAAATAATTTTAGTTTTAGCCAATCCCTATGAAGTCACTACTCACTAGAAATCTATGTTGCATGGAAACGGAAACGGAAACGTGGAAGCGAAACGTTTCGGAAACGGAAAACGATTTTTTTCTAAAATTAGGGATTGGAAACGTGTACACATATATAATATATGTATATATATAACATTAACATAAAACTATAAAAAATGGTTTAATTAAACAATAAAGTCCAAAACATCAAATATTAAATAGGTTAACTAAAATTTTAAAAGAAAAAAGATTAAAAGGTTCAAGTTCAAATATTTAATATAGACAAACATTTTCATTCTCATTTTCATTAGTTTCATCATAGATCATATAAAGATGCCCCAAATCTAGTTTGTCGATAAAAAGATCTTAAAACTCAGAGTCTTCCAAAATTAGTTATATGTATTATAAATCTTAATCTTTTCAACTTTTATTTATTAAGTTTCCAAAGTCAATCAAATTTTTTTTGTCGCGTTTCCATTTTAGAAACGTAATTTTCCATCGTGTTTCCAAACATAGATTTTTAGGAAACGCGTTTCCATGACGTTTTTCGTGTTTCCGAAGAGTTTCCGTTTCCGAAACGTTTCGGAAACGGGAAACGGACCTCGAAGAGAGTTTCCATGCAACATAGCTAGAAATTCTTTTTGTATGTATATCACAAAACTATTTCATCAACCAAAATCTTTCTATTGCCTCATTAAGCCAAGAGGATTAGATAAATAACAAAAATAAAATAAAAATTACTTTTTTACATAGAGAAAAATAATGTAACATTATAAGAATTTGCTTCCCCCATTAATATGTATATATTAGTTAACATGATAAATTCGACCCTAAGTTTTTTCTTAATCACAAAAAGCGCTCTTAGGTTGTTCCACTTTCCTCTCGATCATATTGATAATCTTGAGCTTGAAGTCTTTAGCACTGATTTAGCATAAGCCAATGGCAAAGCTGCAATTTTCTTGACTTTCCCCACATAAGCTCTCTTAGTGAAATTGTTGTAATCATTCGCTTCAATCTCGTCCAATATTCTCCTGTACAATAGCAACGATGCCCATACCTGAAACATTTCAGCCAAGTCTTCGGGTTAAAATCGATCCAAAACAAAAAGGTAAACGGTAAACTTGCTGCTGAAGAGTGTTTTATAGACACTTACTGGCCATCTGCTAGCGGCGCTGAGCTCGGTGACGCCTTTCTCAGCTTCATCGAAGAACATTCTTGCTCGTTTAAGCTGCATTTTCATGAAGTTTCTCCATTTATCAGTGACTTTTCCGGCGAATATGTCTTCATCTGAAAGACCGGCTTGAGCCAATTCATCCTGAGGCAGATAAACCCTTCCTCTTCTCGCACTGAAAGAGAGAGCAAAACCAATGTAAGAGAGATATGTGAATCAAGAAACCTGTTTAAAAGAAGCATGTGAAATCAAGAAGCCGGTCTAAGTGAGATATGCGAATCAAGAAACCTGGTTTAGGAGAGATATGTGAAATCAAGAAACCAAAGCTTTATTAAAAAAGACTCACTCTTCGCCAACGTCTCTGAGTATGTTGGTAAGCTGATTGGCTATACCAAGGGCCAAGGCAGCGTTGTAAACACTTTCGGTTGTTGCTTTCGACTTAGGATCGATTCCCATAACCGGAACGCTCATCAATCCGACGGTTCCCGCGACATAGTAGCAGTAAAGGTATAGATCATCGAAGTTCTGGTATCTCGATTTCCTCAAGTCCATTCTCATTCCTTCAATCATGTCTCGAAATGGCTGCAACATAAAGAAACATTAGATCAAAGTTTATAAGGTTTATTGCAATGGACTGAATATAAGACAGAGCAAGGCTGACCTGAATATCAACCGGGTATCTAGCAACTGTATCAGCGAGAGCAGCATCAAGCATATCGAAAGGACGGCCACGGAAAAGATCTTCTAACCTTGCTTCCCATCTATCTAAAGCCATGGGAGTTATATGTGAAGCATTAGGCCCATCGACGAGTTCATCAGTTCTTCTACACCAAACTGCACAAAAACCGAGTAAAACCATCAAATTGAGACAAATCAGACATAAAAGAAAACAACTTTTGATATTTGATAGTTTTGAATTCCTCAGATGCTTTGGATACTAGTATTTCCTAGAGAGGGTCATGAGTTAACATTGTTCAGCAGAGTAAAATCTCCAGAGTTTAAGAACATTGGGCCCAAAAAGCCCATTAAAACCCCATATTAGTAACTAAGCTAGATTTCTTGGGTCTTAAATCTTCAAAGGGTACAAAATTTGGATGCTTGGTGTTAATGGACTTATCTTAGACACAAGCTAACCACACAAACTAACTAGAGACCTATCCTTCTACAGGAGTCTAAGATTCTAGGAATCTATTTCTGATTCTTAGAACTTTCTTGTTAAAAAAATAATCTAGATACTAACCAAGAGACACATTAGATTGTTTGTAGAAATCTACTTTGAGCATCACTTTATTCTACAATTCAAATCAATGCAGATATTCTAAAACAGTTCTTCAACCATTGGTTTTGTGCAGTAACTTACCGTAGATAGCCCAAATCGCCTTTCGCCTTTCGGGTGTCATAAGCAAAGTTCCTGCAACATACACATTAGAACTCAGAACATCATTCTCACCACAGCCTAAGAAGAGAAAAAAAGATGATCCTTACCTAGATAAAACGTCTTCGCATATTCAGCGCAAACTTCGCCGCATCGATCATAAGCCTCACCCAACAAACTCAAACTCCCTGGAAGAACAACATCTTGTGGTTTCTTCACATCAAGATCATAAGAAGAAGACCTTAGCTGTTTGTTCACCAAAGCAGCTTGTTTCAGCACAACATTGTAAACCTTCTCTTCAGATGAGAGGGCTATCTCTCCTGAAGGACTTGCTACTAAACTTGAAGACACAACACCACTTCTTCTACTTGGGTTCATAACAGAAGAACTCCAAGTTGGTGTCTGCTTCCACCTACCTTTGTTTAGTCTCTGATTCTGAAGAGGAGAGAACAATCTAGAAGATTCTAGAACTCTTACCAACCCACAATTGTTCATTGGGTCTGGATTCAGAGAAGAAGTAGCAACCCATAACACTGCTACAGAAGAAGACATACTCAAGTTCTTGAGAGAGTGAGAGAAAAATCTCAACTTTCTCTTGTTTTTTTTCTTCTTTCGTTTACTCTGTTTCTTCACTAAGAAGAATCAAAATCCCAACTTTTCAGTGAAACCCAGTTTTTGATTTGGATCAAACTGGTAAAAGATTAATGCTTTCCTGCAAATTGAAAACATAAAACCATTTGATTAGCAATCGAGATCTCTAAATCTGTATATAAAGCCAAATTAAGCGAGAGAGAAACTCAATTTCTTCAAGCAAGTAAAATAGCGAAGAGACACAAACATAAAGAGAAGATCTTCAAAAGCAAATGAGAACATTAAAAGAGAAAAGAAACAAGCAAATCCCCTAATCTTATCTGCTAAATACTCAACTGGGTTCATCTATTTTTCCACTCAAAATTACACAAAAACAAGTTAGATTGCGTATCGTTGTGATTTATCAACATGTGAAGGTCTAATAAGAGCCCAAAAGCATCGAAACAGTGAACCACATGACAGGGTAAGCTTAACCAAACGAGAGAAAATGAGTGATGGAAACTAAAGCCTACCTTTCTCTCTCTCTCTCTCTCTCTCTCTGTAAGAACAACAGATACTGTGAGAAAACTTTGAAGAAGAAGGAGGAGGAGGAGATTGTCAAACACTAAATTAATCGAAAAGACGAGAAAAAGGTTTGACCCATTAATGTCGGAAGATCCTCAAGAAGTTATATTGCAACGCTTACTGGTAATATACACACACAACACAAGTAGATGATGTCTCTTCCTCTATCGTAAAAAATTCTCACCCACTCAAATTTTCTTCCTTCTTTGTCTTTTTTTTTTTTTCTTTTTTTGCTGGGATTTAATGAGAATCTTGCCAGTATAAATACAAAAGTCGTTATTTTTGTTGTAGACCGCATGGTCGGATGGACTCCATAACCGTTGGGCCTAATCCATATTCTAGAAGGCCCATGTCCATATTCTAGATGATTCTCCTTATGACGGTCTATCTTATCTTAGTGGGCTTTTGGGCTTTAGGGTTTACTAGCCCAATGGGGATTTGTCTCCCCTCATCATGTATAAATATGTAACGAACTTCATTCATTAATAAGAATAAGAACAACAAGTTCTATAACACGTTATCAGCACGAGTTTGCTCTTAACAACTCTAACCCTAAAAATCGCGGTACTGTTCACACCGACACTGTTCATCACCGACACTGTTCACCGCCGATACTGTTCATCGCCGATACTGTTCACGCCGACACTGTTCATCGCCGATACTGTTCATCGCCGATAATGTTCACGCCGACACAGTTCATCGCCGACACAGTTCATCGCCGACACTGTTCATCGCGATACTGTTCATCGCCGATACTGTTCATCGCGATACTGTTCATCGCCGACACTGTTCATCGCCGACACTGTTCATCGCGGCACAGTTCATCGCCGATACTGTTCATCGCAGCACTGTTCATCACGACACTGTTCATCGCGGTACTGTTCATCGTGGTACTGTTTGCGGTTCGTTGCAGCAGCGTGAGTTACCGAGGTCTTTAGCTCCCGGTTCTAGTCCATACAACCCCATAAGGTGAAAGATAACATCAAAACCCTAAAGCTAAAGAACCAACAATTGAACTTGAAAGTTAAGCAAAGAGAAACCCTAAAACGAATGATGATTGATTAAGTGATTGTTTTGCTTGTATGATTCGATTGCTTGCTTGATCCGATTGCTTGTTTGCT